TCCACTTAATGCATCGGGCTTGTTATGAGTGATGGTGAAATAGATGGGGATATTATCAGCAGAATTCAAGTTGGATGGTTGAAGTGGCGGAATGCATCGGGCTTGTTATGTGATAGAAATGTACCCCTCAAACTTAAGGGAAAATTATAAAAAATGATAGTGAGGTCTGCAATGCTTTATGGTGCTTTGTTTGGCTAACTTATACATATATCTTTCTCCCTCTTTAGTATCTAATCTATTATATAAATCACTAAAAGCTAATGCCTTTGCATCGCATATTGCTTTCTTAGCATCCTTACGAGCCACTTTATATATTTCCCAATTATCAGAATTTTTAAAATTAAACCAATTTTTATAACAAAGCTTCTTATTTTTAATTTTTTCTTGCACATTAGGATTCCACCACCAACTATTTTTATTATTAGGAGCTTTTCCCTTTGATACTCCAAGGACATCTTTTGCAATATTCTTAATATCACTAGCCACTTTTCCCTTTGTCACATCTTTTGCTAGCATATGGAGCTATAATGGTTTAAATTCTAATATCTATTTTGTTGGGAGATATAAGGGCCTGAGGAAAATATATTAACTTCTGTTTAGTAGAATAACTTATTCATAATTATTTTTTTGTTCAGTTTACATATTTGTTGGGCTAATTGTTAAAAATTTAAATCGTTGGGTGTGATTGTTGAGCTGTGTTGGTTCACACTTAATCTGCATTATGTTTCAAGTTAAGGCAAAGGTAAGGTTCTAGTAGAGTAGTTGAGATTATAGAATATGATAATATGAGTATGTAAGGTATTTTTCTCTGATTTTTTGTTTCATACACTCATGGCTATTTTCCATTTTGTTTTGTCTTTATCTGTAGTCATGTACTGTATTGCAGAGATTTTATTGTCATTACATTTTGAAGATGAATGAAAGGAGAAATAGTGGATGAGTATTTTTTGTTTATTGGCAGTTAATTAATAGCTTTGTTGTCTACTAAGAATTAAAGAAATCCGAAAGATTTCTTCAAATTATATCTTGTGCTTGGTCTGTTACCATCGAAGACGATATAACTTATTTTGCCTGTGGGTTAGATTGGGTTGGGCCCTGACATTTTGCCAGGGCATGTAGTGAGAAAATAATAGTGCACTGTCATTCTCATTTGAAGCATGTACAGAAAGAGTTCCACTTATAAATGGATCTTATTTTTCTACATCCATCCAATAACATAGAAGGTGATAGTGATAACGATTTACATCTACTATGCAAGAACTATTGTTTAAATTTATGCAATTTTGGGGTCTATCCAAGGGTGAGGTGCATGCACAACACCTTGAAACTTATGCCTCGCATTGGAAGAAAGAGATGTATGTCAGAATTATTTGAATTAAGCAATAAAGCTCACCTCAAGGCACAAATAATGATGTATACACCTTTATTTCAGGATTTGAATTAAAGTTTTGGAGGATAATGCAGAGTCCTTGGCAGGTAATGATGTGCCCTTAAGTTACAAATTGTTTGTGAAGGATAAAAACAGAGTTTCATCATCACAATTATAAGATGAAGATCATAATGTTGACTATTTTAATGGAGGAAGGAACATATAAAATAAAAGTCTGACAAAAATCAATAGCAAAAATTAATGTAATATTTATGTAAGAAATTATGAAAGATGAACATAGTTATTATTTTAAATAATATTCTTATTAGATTTTATTGATTAGAGAAGGGGATGTTGATTGAGATTGAAGATGATAAAGACGATTTGGAAGATGATACAAATTAGAATGAGGGATGCTAGAAAATAATCGATTACAATGTTGATTTTAATGAAGACTATCTACATGATGAAAGTGGGAGAGATTTTAGAATTTTGAGTCTTAAGTAATACTTAGTTTATTGTAAAACTTTGGTTTATATTTATTTATTTATCTTATAATTCTTTCTTATTATTGAGTGCTTACTTTTTATGATGATTTTTTGACACTTTTGGATTAGTTTCCAATGTTTTATTTGGAGGAAATTGAACTCAAATTTTTATAATATTACTTATTATAGAGTCCTACGGTGGATAACTCTTAAATGCTTTTTTTAATTAATTTTATAGTTTAATTTTTAGGTTATGCATCAAAACACCTTGACGCTTACACTTTATCTCTCAAAAAGACAATGCTTCAATTCTCGCTGCACAATTTAAATCTTGGGGAGAATCATGGAGAAATGATTTTGCACATCAACAATTGATTTTTGTTGAGAAAGAATGGTCTCAACGATCAATTTAAACACAATTCCTCCAATGGGAAGTAGTAACAAGAAAGATGGAAGGATAACCATTCTTCGATATGATTCACAACACAAATAATGCTCAAATATTCATCCACTATGCAGCTTGATCCTATTGAGGTGAGATGCTAAGATCAAATAGGGGTGTAAACGAGTCAAGCTCGAGTAAGCTCAAGTAAATGTTTGGCTCAGCTTGTCAAGCAAACGAGCAAAATTTTTCTAATTATGTTTGGTTTTTAACTTATTGAGCCAACCATGTGGTATTCGTAAACATAAAATCTAGTTGAAAATCATATATAAATATAAAATATCATGTCACCATGTGCATATTCATATATCCCTCCAAATATAAATTTATGAATATAAATATGCACAATTTATACATATACACACACATAAAAACGTGTGAGCATATATGTATACAAAACTTATGTGCATATTTTATGTATGGATAAACAAAATCAAGCTATTATCTAGCTGAACACGTTTGAGTAAGGCTTTGTTTGTGTTTTGCTCGTTAAATATACAAGCTTATAACAACTAGTCAAACTTGAGTTTATGATCGAGTCAAACACGATCAAACATGAATAATGTGGTTTTTTTATAGCCCTAATGGCTAGATAGGCTTATTTGGATCAAAATTGATGCACTATGTTGTGCCTGCGACACAACACATCCAGGAATAACGGCCAGATACGCTCCACTATCGTTTTTACCTTTTCACCTCTCTGCTTCATTAGTTGGCTTTATGATATATTGCTCTTTTATAGCATTTTCAAGTTATTTAGAAAATATAGAATTATACTTATAGGAGAAGAGAAGGGCTGGGTGAGCTCAGTGAATTGTTAATCCTTTTATCAATATACAAATTTCCCTGGAGCACATCGCTCCGTTTCCCTGTTCTATTGCTTGGCTTGCGATTCTTTTCCTACAGGTTTTCGGAGATCCCAGCGACGGCATCAAAAATGCTTTCATTGGAGGCTACACCAGTTCCAAGTAGCTCACCAATACAAGTGGGGGAGGTGATAATCACCCAAGTCATGCATGTGAAATAATTCGAACTCATTGCTTATTACTCCGGATCCCACAAGAATATTTTGGGAGCCGTCAATCTCACAAACCTGATTCTTGAATGTCCCAAATATTGTCATTAACAATGGGCAAGTGGATAACAATTACTCTTAATTTTCATTTCCCATTTCCATCCATTTACTAGTTGTGATTTTATTGCAGTTCTGATTTCCAATTGATTTTTAGGATTTATCCTATATATTGATCACTATTTAGTTTGCATGGAAGTTCACTTGGTCATGCCTTAAGAACAAAGCTTATTGCTTGGATTCTAGTAATTTGATTGGATTGTGCTATTAGTTGTACGTTGTTTGCTAGAAAGGCTGGCACCTAAATTTTGTTTTAACACGTTCTGTGTCTCTCTGATACCTCCTCTCACTGTGTTTCTTTTCTTTCTTTTAGAAACAAATAACCTTTTTTTTATATTTATACAAGTTTTCTGTCTATTGAAGTATGTATCATTTAGAGTAAGAGACACTGATGATACATGCTTTATTCAACTTTTGATGGTTTGTGATGCAGTATAGGGTATGCATCAATATTATTTTAACTTTTTTCTTGAGTATTCTAGAATTTTTTGATTATTTTTAGTGCTTCTAATTCAGTTAGTATTTTTAAATGTAATGGACATTTACGTGGTCAAAGTGAGTAGACACCATTTCTTGATTCTTGTTGTTCCGATTAAACCTCTAAGTAATCATCTGTCTGATTCAGCATTTCCAAATGAGAGATCATGCACTATTCACTCGCTTGACATTGACGTGTTGTTTTGTTATGTTTCAGAATTTCCATCTTATTCGATTTGATTACTGATGGATCAATAAGTCAAACATAATACTGCCTTATAAAAGCTCTTATCATTGGGTTGACAGCAATGACATAACATCTGTAAATTTCACCTCATTTTCTGTTTGGTGTTGCGTTATAGAGTTACTGTTAAGTAATCAAGTTGGATGGAAAAGAGAAAAATATGTTTTTTTTGCGTTCGGAAAGGACTAGAAAGCAATATGCACTATTGTTCATATAGAAGAGAGAACTTAATGTCCTTGGACCGAAGAGTGCAGGTATATAATTGAACAGAGGCAATGGAGGATTATTTTAAGTTGATGTGCACATTTTTTCCTTGCTTGATTCTTGATATGCACATTTTTTTCTGGTTTGATTCTTCATTACGGTTAAGCATGGCCATCTTCAAATGGTATCTATTATTATGCTTCTCTTTTGAAACAGCTTATAGAGTTGCTGGTTTTGGTAGTTTTTTTTTCTTAATTTTACTTTTAACTGTTTTTATTAAACTTACGAAGTGCTTTTGTAACTCGAATGGAAATAACATTTATGACTTCTAAATAGCTTCATGATTTCTCTGAAATATGAATTTCATCTAAAGTTTTTTTAATTTAATTGAAAAATCATAAGATATTGAAGTCATTACTTGCACTATCACAATCTCCAGCACCAAAGTTAAATTTTCTTGTTAGTGAAAACTAATCCCACTTTGATCCACCGTTTTGGTTTCTATAGAAGTTTACTTTTTGAGTTGCTTGGCTCGATAGCTTTATGCAGTTGTTCAAAATCCATATTTTTATTTGGCAGTACCTTTCTTCTTAAAACTTTCAACTACCTTATTAAGTTACTGATTTGAAGCTTGTTAGTTACAGGTCTGAGACAGGGCACAGTTGAACAATTGAATCAATACTACTGGAACATGAATCTATTAGATGTAACTTGTTCCGTCATTGTTTCTATTCTTCATAGAATTTGTCAATCCTACAGAGCTTTTGAGTTTTTGTTTTGTTATTCCGATAAAATGTAATTCGTGAATTGTGAATTTTGTTGTTTTTGAAGATTGCAAACATTATGTATTCTTCAGTTCTGGTGGTTGTTTCCTTTTCTGAATTTCTTTGAGACATGGATCTCTTATTTTCACTTAATAAATTGCTAAAATAACGTTGATGGCATGCCGTCACTTATTGAGGGATCTCTTTCATTCTACATATTTTCATGCCCAACAAATGGTGAGGTGCAAATTGGAGAAAGTTCATTCACCTTAAATGAATGACTTTCAAGATCACTAAATCGTAAAGCTTTAGAATAATTACTAAATGGAAATGGGAAATTACATTTGAACAGTCAAGAAGAAAGATGCATGTAATAGAACTGTTCAAATGGTTCTATCTTTGAACAGGCGTCCTTTTACTTAAGTTTCTACATTATGTAAATGGAAAATCACTGGTTCTAGCAAATTTGAAAAGTTCAATTATTTTTAGCTTAATACATAAATAGGACAACTTCTCCAATATTGCAGAACCCTTTAAATTAGGGAAAAAAACAAAAATGGACATCCCTAGAAGAAAAAACATACTTATGGCTACAAAAAAGAAATAGTTACATGATTCTTGAAGTGCTACTCTTGTATTGCACTCTTCTTGAAATTAAGTGAGTATCTGAACTCTGAACAGCTGATATTTAATGTATTACTGATAGAATCAGTTCACCCCGAGGAACCTTCCATTAGAAAATGAATATTCAGATTTTGAAGAAATAGCTGTATTTTGTGATATAAAGGTATTCAATAGTGCATATGGATGAATCTGTTGATAAATATCATGAAGAAAATATTTAATGAATATTGATTGGCCAAGATACAACACTTGCCGAACCAAAGATTATAGCAATTTTACTTGAGTTAAAGTTCTGCAAGGGTAGTTCTACATAATCTTTGTCCCTTTTTCTCCGAAGAAATTCTGGTGACATAACCTGATGAGTTCTAGTCTTTGTTGTCCTTGGGGTATTATTAGACATGGTCTATCTACTGTGGGACGTCTTATAATAAAAGAAAACAATCAAAAGAACTTTATAACTAAGATACAGGAAGAGTTTTTTCATATTGCATGTATTGTTCTATGCATTTACATGATAGGAACTGACTAGAAATTATAAAGACATCAGATTTTAAAGCTTAAATGTACAGCAAATTTTTTTAAAGTTTTAGTTTAGGATTAAAGTGTGCCAGCATGTTATCTCAATTTAAAGTATGTGTAGAATTGAAGACATTGTTTGCATTCATTGTTGACTTATTCAAGAAACTGAATTAATGTGATAGCTTGCACATTCAAATCAGACAAACAGTAAGAATTATGAGTTTACCCTAAACAGTAATAGAAAAAGTCAGTTTACCTTCTGCCACCGCAACCATGTTCTCTCTGACAATTGAAATACACTGCTGCAACAGGGGATCCAAGATTGTAAACTGCTGCAAAATCCCTAGTATTGAAGTTTTGACGCCATCCTGGTGCATAAACCGTTTGCTGAGTTTCTTGCTTAAATAATACAAAAGCAATTCTATGAATTCCAGCTTGTGGTCGTGGCCCTTCATAGTGGACTACTTCATTACCTGAAATATTTATGAATATGGAATCAGACTTGCATGATCATTTTGATTTAAAAAGTAGGCATTTGAAATCTTTTACTAGTTTTCCACATTAGAATTCAAGACGCCTTCATACATTGTGATTGCAAGAAGATAAATGAGAGCTTATGTGGTTAACATGGACGTTGGCTTGTGTCAATTTATTCTGAATAACTATCTTGTTACTTCTAATATTTGATGGTTTATTTCATTTTTGTTTATGGCAAGATATCATAAATAAAGAATTTCTTATTAGAGAGGGAAATTGGGGAGGACTTGATGAGAATATTGAGTTTTCTGATATGTAAAATCAAAGAAAGACTTTATTTTTAATTAATTACTGGATAACTGAATAAGGGGCCAGATATTATAGTTTCAGCCTTAGTAATATTATCTGTGACCTTACTTTTATTTTTGTTATTTTCAAGTTGTAAATTTAACTGTCCGTTACCAGCTTGCAATCTAGTGGAAAAGTCAATTAAATGTATCCTTTTGATCGTAGTTTGCTTATATTGTATTTTGCGAGCTGGATTTTGTTTGGCTATTTAAATAAGGTATTGTATATCAGTGTATAATGGTTAAATATATGTAGCAACTGCAATGTCTTGTTATTCTGAAGCAAATCTCTTTAATCATAACTACATGAATTTCAAGGTAAATAAAAACATGTTAATCCATGTTACAAATCATACTTTATCAGAATTATCTCATTTTATTGGTTCCGTGGGAGTTAGGTGTATTCTATGACACACATACATGGACATGGTGATATGGACATGGGACACAAATTACTAAAAATATAGGTCACATACACGGATTGGACACGACATTATAATTTTTATATTTTAAAAACAGTGTATAGAAATCGAGTTAGAAACATATTAAGAATAATTGAAAAATAATAAATCATTTAATTAATATTTGTGCTTAAAATGATTAATATTAGAATGTTGAGAGTTAGACGTCATTGTTGTGTTTCAAGCATTGAGAGGGGAGGCAACAATGTTGTAAAGAGTTAGGTATCTAGCGTCAATGTCGAGATAATTTTGGTTGTCTATGGTGAGATGAGGTTGGACAAAGATGTGATGTCAGGAGGATGCAGGGTGTCATTGTCGAGTAGAAATTGTTGGCGTCAAACATTGATTTGCAGACGAATTTGAAACATTGATGTTGTGATGGCGTCGGACATTGATGTTGCGATGGCATTTGGCATTGTGAAACCCTAGCTATGATATGCTAGAGAGAAATAAAAATGATATATTTGGGAAATGGGGTATTTAGTGCGGGCAATTGATTTGGATTTGTTGAGAGGAAAAAAATAATTTTTTTAATAAATAAAAATTTGAAATATAAGAAATTAGAATAAAAAATTTAATATGTGAATGTCCAATTTGATTATTTAAGACGTGCATGTCCAATTTGATTTTGACATTTTTTTAATCTGACATATTTTCGGTGTGCCCGATACATATCGAAGGTGTATCAAACATGTATCATGTCTGATATGTGTCGGACACTGTATACCTCATTGAGGAGAAGTATTCGTGCATCATACTGATGTATTATATTATTTATTTTTAAAAATTTGAAGCAAAAAATGACATTTCTTTCTTTCTGTCATTTTTATTGTTGATGGTGTCATTTTGATTTTAAAGATTTTGATAAATACCTAGAGATTCCTATGACACTCTAGGCCATACCACAGAAGTTGTGAAATCCTCAATCCGCCTAGGAGTGATTGTTGCGATCGAGGCTTGGACAAGAATGGGATCTTGGCAGGCTTCTAGGAGAAAAGGAGTCTCCTAAGGGTTCAAGAATGAATAAAATCCAATGTTTAAAGTGGAAGAAAGGATATTAGCTATATTAATGGAAGAGTTATAATATAATATGCAATTAACTTTTTAGTTTAATGGATGAATTTTTGTTGGAAACTCAATTTATAACCATGCTTGTAGTATAGCATTATTAAGATGGGTCACTACCTGGGATGAAAAGGAATATGATTGTAAGATTAACTTCATTTGGGATAGGCTAGGACAACGCGAACAATATCATATATAGTTTGACTTGGGGTGGTTATAATCAGTATAAAGCTTAAACATTTTTATTATTAATATACCTTGATTGAGCACGAATCTCCAGGCATGTTTGAATTAGAATCCTTCAAAATTAAATTTAGGACCATCTGAACTTTGATTTCAATAAATTATATGCTGAATTGACTATCTCGACGAGACGTACCCAATGACACCAAAAGTAGTCTAATCTGGGGCCGATTGAACCCAAATCAAAGGGCATGAAGCGTAATTAAAAACTATAGAGTACAAATTGTATTACAATGATTTTGAAAGTTGACATACTTATAGTGGAATCAAGCGGCTTGACAAGATGAATCTAATAAGCCTAAGATCACTTAATTCTGACATCATTAAGACATGCAAATATTGAATGAATGTTTTATGATCAAAGAATTAGTATAGCCGATTGAGTGATCCATATTTTCTTCATATTTATGAGGCATGTCATTTAAAAAAAATTATGAATATATCCCCACTCTTTATATGAGAGTGGAAGGAGGAGGAGGTTGGAGTTGAAATCTAAACTTTCTCTCTTGAGATTTAAGAGAGGTATGCGGCTCTAAGGATCCTAGAGTACTATTGCCGAGCCACCACCGTCTGTAACTGTAGAGCCTTTGCTAGCTAGCCTCCATGGTCCTATGGCCGCTGTCACCTAACTATGGCTCTTCGACCTTCATCGTCCGCTGACTATAATCCTCAAACCACCGTTGCTCCACTATAGTCCTCGGATTACTGTTGCCAAACTACAGTCATCCGACCACCATTACCTGTTAACTTACAGTCCTCAAACCTGCATTGCTCGATTACGGTCATTCGACCATCGTTGCTCAACTACTACAGTCCTATCACCTTCACCCGTCTACGGTCCTTCCGATCTCTGTTACCCATCAATTGGTCTCATGACCTCTATCGTCCACCAACTACAGTCCTCGGACCATTGTCAATCTACTATGGTTCTTCTAATATTCATTGCCTGCCAACTACATTCATTCTGATCTCCGTTGCCCGCCAACTATGGTCCTTACGACCTCCGTTACCTGTCAACTATGGTCATTCCGACCTCCGTTGCCCGCCAACTATGGTCCTTTGACTATTGTCTCCTGACCATGGTCCTTCCAACCTTCGTTGCCTATCAACTATGGCCCTCGAACCACTATGGCCCGGCGACGGTCCTTCCTACCTTCATTGCCCTTCGACTATATTTCTTCAATATTTGTCGCCCGCCAACTACAGTCCTCCAACCTATAATCTTTTGGCTATTATCATCTGGCTACTCCAACGCCTGATAGCTTCATCATCTACCATCACTAATAATGTCCATACATGCCATCACCTTCAGGATCGATGTATGTCATAGACATCAACTATGATTCCCCACTTCATTTATGCTGGATTCTTGCCAAAGGGATCTTCCAACTTCAACCACCTAATATGTTCTTTGTATGTACCATCATTAATAATGTTGGATTCTTGACAAATTGGGCAAGAGCAGATAATATCTTGAATAGGATGTCCTAGGGAATGACACTTGGAGTGCTTCGCTAAGAGCACACTTAAATGTGGAGTTCTCACATGCTGTTCTAAAGGGGCCATGCCTTGCATAATATGCCTAGGGCGTTGCTATTCTATGACTTTCTATGGTTGGGTCTTGTACAAGCTTTGTTTTAAGGTTATGTATATGTTTTGTTTATACACGCATACAAAACTATAGTTAATAAAACCACCTCTAAATTTGGACTCATATTTGTCATGGTTGGTTTGGAACCTCTCCTTAATATTGGTACATTTACATCAGATTGACATGCATTTTTAAGAACATGCAATGAGAGAGAAATAAGGATAATGCTTGGACATTCATATGCTTATCCAGGGTGTTCAGAATAAGATAGTTTCAGACCTTTTTATTCCTGGAAATGCTTGATGTTCATTAGCTTATAGCGTCTGATTAATTGTCAGTTTAGTATAGTTTATGGTTAGCAGAAGAATTTTCTGACACTTATTTTCTCAGTTTTCTCACCATCTCTTTGCTATTATTGTTGTCAGGGAATTGCATTTTTGTACGCATAATGAGTTTATTTTATGGGAGACCAGCATAGATGGCCGCCTGCTTTATTAGCTATTTATTTGTCCAAATCCTTAATTTAAAAATATGTAATATCTCAGATTTGGGTTATTTACAAGTTTTAGGAGGGTTCTATGTTATCATTATATTATGAAAATATTACATAAACTTGAAATTACTGTGACCTACCAAAACTTGCATCCATTGTCTCTGGTATATCTGTCACCAACCTAAAATACCAACAAAAACTAGTTAGCACTTCAATTGGAGGTGAAATAGAATAAGTCAGAACAACTTACAAGATTAGGTTAACTTCTCCCAAATATATATATATATATAAACATATGTGAAAAGTCACTTAAGACAATATATATAAGAAACTTACCGCAATTAGCTGATGTTATTTGTTAGGGATGTCATTGATAAAATAACTGATTAGTCAAGAAGATTTTGTGTTCAACAAATGCGGAGCACCTTTGGCTAGGTATGTGTGTACATATGCTAGATATAAGTATTAAACTATTAGTTTTAGACACTTTTAGTTAAGGTGTGTCATTTTATGGTTTGCTTGATTCTTTGTATTGGATGGATGTTGTAATGAGCACTATTTGATAATGCATATAGATGTTACATATACATGTTTAGTGTTGTATCTTTTGATTATCTTGAATGAACAAATTGTGGGTTAGCTATAGAATTTTCTTTTTGGTAATGGTAGATTGTGCACTTGTGGGCTGTTCACCCTTTTTCCTTGATGGCCGTCCATTCTCCACTTGTTTTTTCTATGCTCAGATGCTCGTGAGCTGGGTCGTGACAGTTAAACAGTCAATGACCTGAAAGTTGTATATGAATGCTTGTTTAGGTGGCATTTCCCCTCCTCAAAGTTTGAAGGGAGGGGTTTAATTCACACTGCCATCAATTTGTTCCCAGAAAAAGAGAAAAAAAAAGGACTAAAAAGTTGGTTGGGTGTGGAATCAGAAATCAAACAACTGCAATTTGTATCTCCTGACGCATGCTTCTTATTAAGGATTCCTTCATTAACTGATGTTTAATGTCCATGTTACATCGTTATTTTTTTAGTCCTGTGAATTTTTTCCTACAGAAATATACTCCACCACCTTTCTTAAAATGTTATTTACTTGTTCGTTCCTTGAAACATCCGCATCTACCCTCAAACTTCCAATTAGAAAACCTTATTCTGGTTCCTGAAGTCAGATAAGTGACGTTGATGTTATATAAAAGTTATGGTTGTTTTGAAGTAGACGCAATCCTTATTCAAATGAGCCCCTCTGGTCTAAAGTGTAGTTATCAAAGTTTTATGTCCTCGAGGCACCTAATATTTGTTACAACAGAATCCTCTGCAGAGCAATTGTATGTCGGCATATGCTAAAGAAATCCAACTACTTGCAAAACCAAATCAAGTTGAAGGTGCATGTTTCTAACAGTTAATAATTAATGGAAACCTTCTCCATATTGGCCATATATGACTTTTTCTTGTGAATCCAAAATATTTGGGGCAAGGCTAATGATGGTGATGATTTCTAATGAAATCTGGATGTCTGTCTCCACAATTGGGAAACTAAGGTAGTTTCTCAAATGATGAAACCACACATTAATATATTTGATCATATGTTTAATTCTAGATGTTTGAAATTTTTTGTGCACCTTTTCAAATTCTCAGTTCTTGACTCGCCTTAGATTGTTTGGTCACATAAAACGAAGGCCTTCCGATGACCCTATTAGGAGAGTAGATGTATTAGATTTGACCTATTAAGAAAGGTAGAGGTAAACCTAAAAAGATTTGGTTAGGAAATATTAGATATGACCGTTCTTTATTAGATTTAAATGAGAATTTGACTCCTAACAAGACGCAATGAAGAAACATTGATTCATGTAACCGACCCCACAGTGGGCTAACGGCTTGATGTTGTTGTTGCTGCTTTTCAAATTGTCAGTTCTTAACTGTTTACATTGCAGAGAGTACAAAAGTGGAAGCTACTATGTACATAGTCAAAATTTACAGTCATTAACTTTCTGTCTATTCACCTTTGCTTGATTATTGAGCCAGGCAGAGCTCTTACTTTCTTTAGGGCAAGGCCATGCATTCTTAAATACACAGAGTATATCTAGGTTGTTTACACTTACCAGTGTAGGTATTCTCTATTTTCCGGATTATTTGGGCTTGGAGCATCTGGATCCACCATCACCTGATTATTACATGATAGAAGACTTAAAAAACTTAAAAGCAAGCGCAATGATTAAAGCATTACATGCTAGATATCTGATTTTCATAAGGCACATGTAGTTAGCTAATGATTTATCTTCTTAAAATCATAATCAACAATTACTGGGACTGATATATGCTCATTCAATAAGGTCATCAATTGTACTGAAGCAAGGGGTAGCATCTCTGTTTCTTGAGATTTTTGGGTCTTCTCAATCAAAATATTTCAATTTTCTTTCATGCAATTGTGTTTGGTTATTATCGCTCTCTTTGATTATATAGTTTATTCTTTCTTTTTCTTCTATTTTTAGGAAGATGTTCCTTAGTTCTTTACGAACAGTGAAAGCCACATCCCACAGTGGCAGTTAGAATGCACGAAACAACAAAATTGTAGTCTTTAGTTGGAACAAGGATCAGATCTAATTATATGCTGTCTGTGCTATGCCATGAAAGAAGTGTAAATATCTTTTGTCAAAGCAAATAGAAGGGTGAGAGTTATCTTTCTGTCTGAAATATTTGGTTGAAAACTTACAGAAGTTAAAATATTACATAAAACAATATGCACTTCCATATTGCGGAACTTCATCTTTAGCATCGAAGTACTTAGATTTAGGAAAATTTAGGAACAGAAGAGAAATTATTACATCCGGTCAAAAACCGAACGGTCCGAATGTATACCGAGTTTTAGGTGATGTGGCGCGTGGTTATTGGTCTCTGAACGCATTCGGACACCGGATGTAATAATTGCTCGGAACAGGATGTGTTAGTTAATCATTTAGAGAAATTGAAAATATATGATGAAAAGATAAAAAATTGTTATTACAGGAGAATAAGCATTTTAGCTGTGGCTGTGGTGAGTTAACTGTACTTAGATGGTGATGGGATCATATTGTCAAAAACTTTATTGAATGGGAAGCTTGGTTCACAATTAGTTCATAAATATAGATAGAATCAGTAGATCTATGTCTAAGATAGTCCACATCTATCAATTCAGGTTTGAGTTTTTCATATTGTCCCAGTCTGTATAAAATGTAGTAGAAGTAGTCTGGAGAATTCCAAATCTGTATGTTTATCATGTCTGTCTACCTTTCTATTAATTCGCAGAAGGGGACCACATATAAATGTGATAAAGCAGTGCAAAAATCCAAGAAATTCTGTACTCGGTGTGATAATGTGAACGTAATTCTACAAATCAGGAAAAATTCATAGACGCCTCTATAAATCAGGAAAATATTTATAAGCTTATTCTGTCTAATAAACTTGTTTAGGTGTGGATCGCATGATGCTTCTATGTGAAGTTTTCCTGGAAAAACATAATTGCTTTTTCTTAGGAATAGCATAACACATTGACCAAGGATCAAAGTTAGCAGAATATCCCAGTTTGCAGAATGTCGTAAGGCAACTTGTCACTTGGAGATGACACCACCACAAACAAACCTGCTTACTTCTAGGAAAATTTTAAATGTATTAAAAAAAATACTTACTAGTGTGTAGAGAATCTGCTCATCATCACCACCAATCTCAACCGTTGGAGCATTCACCACTGCCGACTGTCTTAGTCCAGTGCCATTGGTGATCTCCTTGTTGTTGTACACCACCCTCAACATTGCCGATCTAATGAAAGGATCCAGCACATCACCTACTACCTGCCCGAGCACAAGCGGATCCCGTCCATGCATCATGATTGGCTTCAATGAGCACTTGAATAACTGACCGAGCACCTTTTAGTTTTGGTTGATAATGCAGCAAAAGGCAGTTAAATTATTACATATATATAGTTGGATAAATGGTCATGGCATCTACTTTATGTTCACATTGTGTTACAATTGCTACTGCATTTCAAGTGAACCTTGGAATCTACTTTTGTTTTCTGTTCTTTTGATCCTTCGTATCTGTATGGTGAGGCTAAGGACCAAACTGGATGGATATAAGAACCTCCCCCTGCCAAATCCTTCACCAAATCATTCCCCCAAATACCACCTCACCTGAATTCGCTGTTGTAATGCAAGGAATCTAAGGCATTGGGATATATCAGCTAGTCATGGTCATATATCTTGCTGGTCTTCACTCTCATGCAAAGAAGATCAGAGTTGGCTATGCACGTTTTGTTTTGAGGCACCCAAGAGTATCAGATACTGCACACTTTTTTATTTTGATTTATCACAAGTGCAAGCTCTTTTATGCATGCGTCAAGCACTTGCAGGGCACGTGTTTTGTTTACATGAGAGGAAATTGACAATTTAGTTCAAGCAATATGCATGTAAATGATGATTGCTTGACTTGAATTATTAGCTATGAATTAAATGGCTTTCCACACTGGCGTTTGGTTTACTGAAATATGACATTCAACGAATAATGTAGTGCGGGGACTCATAAGCAGTGTTGATGATATAGTGATTATTGTTGTGCTTTAGCTCGTAATTGTGTCTTTCTTTCTATAGACAATGATGAACCATTCATTTCTAGTATTTTGGCTGTATGGTTTGATGTCTATCAAAGACATGTAATAGTGAAGATCTATTACATGTATGTTAAATTTCAAGCATAGGTAGAAATTCCATGATTTAGAAAACATTTTTTCTTCATGTTGTCCATAACCCACCAAAATACACTCCAGTCTCATCATTTTTTATATATCCCTCTTTTGGCGCACCTCTGCCCCTCAACACAAGATACGCCCATTTCCCAGCTTGTTTTTTTATTCATCCTTCTTTAATGTTGTCATTTGTTAGAGATTAATCATGGAAGGATAGCATAATAATATTTAAGATATTTTGAGCGAAACTGTTTTTATCTATTATAATGCCAAGTTAACTTCTATATTTGTAGACACCCTGACTGATAGAGCTTAGGTCATCCTTGTGTGAGAAACAAATATTGCCCCACTTATGAATGCTCTGTTCTAAGCCACTGTTTAAGATGACATACTGTACATCTGAAATGTCCAAAAGTCTTTGCATTTCTGATTATATATAGCCAGCTTGTACGAACTGTCTCATTTTCTTTCTGTTTACTTGGTAATGCATTACTGGAATCTGAGACTATGCTGGCCGAACTAGACCACAATACACTGGAAGTGCACCTTTATGCTCTAATTTCTTCACCGTTATCAGCTGTCACACTCTCAGGTGTTTATTTAAAAGCCCAAATTGTTATTTAATTGATTAATACTGGTGTTAAAATTATTATTAAATAAATTATCATGGATAGCTTAAGATTTACTCAAGTTGTCAAAACTGAATTTATTAAAAAAAAATTGCTGCAAAAAATTAATTAAGTAAATGAAATCAGTTTTAAAAAATATATATAAATATAAAAATGTGAACTAGCAGTATGCGGTTTATTGGGATTGATTATTAGATGATTTCTCTTTATATGAGGGGAGATGGAGGGGGGTCGAACAAAATTTTGCTAATTTGCTATTTCTAGAAGTTATGCTTAGGAGATAATATGGAGTTAGTTATGACTCATCCTTTATAATAATAATAATACTCTTTGTACCTTGAAGCAAATTAAAGTAGGAATTAAAGTGATTTATATTTTAAAGAACAATTCATGTTAGCTAATATGAATGCCTTAAATGCAATTGCAAATACCATAGTTGCAAATAGCTTAAACTGGTTTATCTATTTCAATTATAAAATGATTCTTTATAATGAATTAAATGAAGCATATGCCTCACTCCATGCTAGAACTATTTTTATTGTATTACATAAGGTTTCTTCTTCGAAAAAAAGTTGTAGGCTAAAAAGAATGCAAATGAAGCTGTGTCTACATGTGCATGTTATAAGATGAAGTTTGCCTTGATGATTTTTACCTTCCACCTCAACTAATTGTAGAAGTACGACCTACACCCAAGTGTGTTGATGGAGGATATATCCGCTATAGGTGACATTTTAACCCTAGACAATTGTGGATATGATCTATGCTCTACAGTGTTGATGGAGCCATATTGACTACAGATTAGTTAGGTTATGTATAGATTGTGCTTCTGAGATGAATGTGTTAGAATATAATAAATTATAAATTAAAATGTGATAAGATCTTAATAACAAGGTCTGTTATGATTTTTTCATTGTACATCACATTTACTGTAAGTAATATTTATAGTTATAGTTGATATTCAAATTATAAGCGGATTTTATAGTTTTCTTAAAGTTTGAAATGATTATTAGCATGTATGCTTGAATTATTATTATTTAGAAATGTAATAAACCCATTTATTTAAATTTATAACTCACACCTATTATCTAATAAATATTCACATAAAAAGATTTTATGGTCTGAATGAGTGAGATCAATGAGTTTCTGAACTATCAATGTGAAGCTATGTAATGGGTATTTAAAAAATATGGATGTTGAACTATAATAGATTTTATTGTTATTTTGGAATAGAAGGAATTTTGTTATTTAGTGGCTCTTTCGATGTATTTGAAGTAATTATTATAAGAAAACATAGGCTCCTAAAATTAATGCCCGGCTCGTAGGAAAGTGTTTTTATGTATAGCTTCTTATGAGCCTTGATTTTCCTGCATCATCTAGCATGAGAAAATTTTTGTTTCACTTTTGTTCTATGAGTAGAACAATATGAGTGTTAGATATTTTCAATGTTCTTTAACATGTTGGTGCAGTTCATTTTATGAGATAATGACATTTGGGTGATTTCAAGTTCAACAGAAAATTTATGAATAATGTTTTGATATTATTTAATATTAGTAGATGTATTTAAAAATTTTGTCCAACCATCTATTTTTGCCTTAATATTTCAAGCTCTTGATCAGGTCATGACAATTTATAATTTTTATCTTCTTATAATAGATGCATCATTTTCCTATTATGTAAGAGAGAGTGGTGGGTGATGGTTTGATGGAGGGAGTCATAGGGGTGGGTTGGGTTTAGGGGTTTAAGTTGATTTAAGTTTGAGTCACAACTTGATAAAAAAATTGGCTCAAACTTGAGCTCAAACAGTGGGCATGAGCTTGGCTCGTCTATTTATTCCTAAGCTCAAAGTTGACTTGAGTGGAAGACGCAATAGGAGCTCGCGGTTAGATGAAGTCAATTCTTGAGCTCGTGAGTTGTGTTCAAGTTGAGGGAACAAGGGCCGAGTAGGAAGAGAGAGAGATAGAGAGAGAGACAAAAAAGATTATATATATAAGATGTTTTTTTAATGTATCCCAAATGTTTGTTTTGCGAGATATAATCAGGATGCAAAATCCGATTATAGATATAAGGTGGGCATGAGGTTAAATACAAGTATTACATCTCTGTAGGACTTGAAGAAATTTATCATGCTATGTTTACTGAGATTAGTGCTTGAGGGGTCCAGGTTAGAAATCAAGTAGTCTATTATAAATCTAGAGAGAGAGAGAGTGTGTGTGTGTTTGTTGGCATGAGTGGGTTGACAAAATAAAGTAGAGAGAGAGAGAGAGAGAGAGAGAGAGTGTGTGTGTGTGTTTGTTGGCATGAGTGGGTTGACAAAATAAAGTTGAGAGAGGTTTCTAAGCCATTTTATCAAGCTGAAAATGTGGTCCAGTAGTTTTATTATATCTGGCAATTCCTCCACCACGGCCTGCATATACACTCAGTAGCATTGCTCTATAAAGCATAAAGCATCATGTTTATCAATTCTCGACGGTGATGTATAATATTGGACTGCTGTCGTCAATATTCAAAATGCTCATCGTTTTACATGCTTCGCATGAAAGGGAAGTGATGCACTATGAGGGAGGGCACCAGCGCTAACTAGTGAAATGCAGATCTGGTGAAGTTATTACATTTAAAATTCCAAGTAATAAGGACAGAAATGTAATAACTAAAGAAAAAAAATCTGAAGTATAGAGACCTTGGTTTAGAATCCTATCACCGTCACCTTTTAGAGGAAAACACAGTAAAGGCCTAGCCACAGATACAAACCATTTCTAATACAGTAAAGAATATGTTCTGGGAGCATTTCTTTTGCAAACCGCTGTCAATTATCAGGGTGGGCTTCACAATCAATACTTGCAGGAATTTCATAAGATGAATGGCATGTTATTATTTTCAATCATAATTGCAGACCTGCTGGTAGATCAAGGCTTTCTTCTAGCAAATTACTTGATCTTGTTTGTCATTTCAATTTGGTTGACTTATTTTTCTCGGGCAGGTAATTTATTTTTTCTTATCTCAATGATAAAGAAAATGGGGCCAAAATTGATGGATTCCATTTTTCTTCAAATTGAGATAGTCATTTTGAAGGTCTCTCTTTGAACATTGTGTTCTTCAATCTTATGATTAAGTATTTAGATCCAATTTGCTGAAGGAAGCTTCAAAGAGATGTTATTTAGCTGGTAGATGAACTTGAAGGTGTGTGACTATGGTTCTCATTTCGTTGTTTTTATGCTTATAGATTAATAGAAGAAGACTCAAGGTGTTGTGTAGGAGTGCCAAATTTCAACTCATTTGAATAAAACTGAGATGGGAATATTCTCAAGTCTACGGATATTGATGTTTGAAAATGGGGTTTTTTTCATAATTCTTCTTTTAAATGTTGAAGAGGTTTGTTGGATTCAAATATTTATGGTTAATTGGTACCTTAAAGTAGATTAATATTGCTCTCCTCAAAAAGACTGCAAGTGCTAAGAGAAGGAACAATTCTATCCAATTGCATCCGCTTCATTAAGTTGGTTCTTCTTACCTTTTTCTTTTTAAGGATGTTTAAGCTAGCTTAAACTTCTTTTCTAAGTATTCATTTGATAGCAAGAGCATTCTTCATTTCTTGATCAATTTTCATCATACATGTTTGCTTTTTCAATTTGGATGATTTCTTCTGCGTTTTTTTATTTCCTAAACTTTAGAAGAAATCAAAGATGGTTTATTTTTTATATGAAATTTTATGGTGAATTGTAGGAGGGAGGGAGGGATTTCAAGATGATCTTGCCATCTTCTTATCTGGTAATTACCAAGGTATGGCCCCTCCCTTTATGCTCATCACATAAAAGTTTGTGCAATCCGCATGTTCCTTTTTGACATAGTATTAGTTTTAATTTTCTTTAGAAAAGTAGGGAATTAGAATCTCAAGCTTGTGATTGAAAGTTAATCACTAATCAAAAACCAAATGAAAAGATATGTCGCATTCTGCTGACAAAACAAAGTAAAATGGAAAAAAGACTGCATCTATCTTTAGACTTGTTCTCTTTTTTTTTTTTTCCTTTTCTTTAGAATAAGAATAAGAAGAAGCGTCACTTCAATAGAAATAAAGGAGAAGAGAACACTTTTTTTTAACCTCCATTTTCAGCATGTTTTTGGTGAATATGTTATTAAAATATTTAATAAACTATAAAAGAAGGGGGGAAGATATTATCCTTCTCTTATGCGGCTTGAAAGGTGAAATGCGAAAGTGGATAACTTGCTTTTGTTCTTCATGTTTTTTTTTTTTCTTTTTCAAAGAGCTAAGACCTCATAGGATAGGATGCCTTCTCTGCTTTCATTCACATTTACATAATTAATTTTGTGAATATTTTCATCTTCTCATTTTTTGCTACCTTATATTTCCCACAGCGAATTACGCACGCGTGAAAGGGAAGCTGATCTCTGCTCAGCCTCGCATTTTTTTTGAATTTTTATTAGGTTCGGACACCTGACATAGCTCTACATCTAGACGCCAATAAAATGTCGCCACGTGCTCTTACTCTTTACCGCGCGGCCCGACGACCTGACCCGGAATGGAAACCCGGTATTGCTATGTTCGTGTATTGCTAGGTTTTGCTCGGTATTGTTCGTTATTGCTTGACAATAACGAGAAATACCGCTCTGTCAAGACCAATACCGAGCAATACCTAGCCAAACTGGGGTATTGCTAGTTACTGGTCTTGACAAAATGGTATTTCTCGTTACCGAGCAATACCGAGCAAAACCTAACAATACTCTGGTCTGTACAAATCAGCTAATACATAGCAATGTTGGGTTCCGGTCTGTGTCGGGTCGTCGGGCCGCGCAGTAAAGAGTAAGAGCACGTGGCGACATTCTATTGACATCCGGATGTAAAGCTATGTCAGGTGTCCGGACCTAATAAAAATTCATTTTTTTTGGGGGGGGGAGTGAATTTGTGAATTAAAATATCCTTGCTAAAATTTATTATTGATTTATTTTAAGGCTGTTATTATTATTTTGATATGTGTAGAAGATAATAACTAATTAATTAATTCATATATTATATTTAATTTAAAATAAATATAAACATTTTAAAATTCATCATTATGATGTAATCAAATTTTAAATGTATTATCTTGTTCATATAATAATGGATGTATAGCATCAGTGCATTGTATTATATGTTTTGTAAATTTTATATTTCTTGATAATAAAATATACTTTATCTTATTTTATATGTTTTGTAAGTTTGATTTCCTTATTTGATGTGTTACATTCATTGAATCAAGAAATTCAATAGGGTGAATTAAATATTTAAGCCTATGGTTCGAAACTTCTTTAATCTATTAAACTATGAAGGTAAATTTATTGAATGATTTTTATATTCATTTGCATTTTTTTTTTTTGCCTACGTGATTCTTATATTATATTTTCTGTTTATAATTAAATTGTGTATTTTTTGTTTATAAATAATAATAATTTTAAATAATTCAATTAGCGTGCTTTCTATTTATATTTAAATTAAGTTAAACTAATATCTATATGTTGTGAAAATCGAACCGAACAATGAATCAGCCGGGATCAAATTGGATAAAATAATAAATAATAATAATATTAAAAATTATAAAATTATAATATATATATATATATATAAAAGTGAATTAAATGATAGAGGAGAGAGTATCATCCCTTGAGAAAAATACACTAAAAAATAAAAATGACACACCTTCACTATAATATTTTTTTTCAAATATAATTCAGTTTTTTATTATTGACCTTTATGTTTTTTAATTTCATTTTGTAGAAGACTCGTCACGCTACTCGACTTGGACAAATCTCGATTTGCAATGAAACCCTAATAGCAAAGTGCAGATGAGTGCTGCCAATCTGAACGCCGTATTCTATGCCAACTCTTACCATCCAATCCAGGCCGGAAGCATCGACGGCACAGACATCGTCCCTCATGACAACGGGGTCTTCAGAGCTGTCCTCTGCTCCGCCGCCGGCCTCTGTGAGTTATCCTCTTATTTTTCCTGTGCCTTTGTGTCTCCTCCGTTATCCAACCCGACTCTTGTTTTCTTTTAGATGACCCCGCTGGTGATCCCAAGATCATTGGCGATTCCTACTGCACCCTCTTCGTGGCACGGCTTTCTCGTCAGACAAGCGAAGAAACGCTTCGAAAGGTGCCGTTTTGATATTGGATTCGATAGAAAGAGTTACCATTTTTGTTTTGTTTTTGTCAGGGTTTGTTTCTGATGAATTCTATTGCGTTGTTTTTGAAGGCCATGAGCGCGTATGGAAAGGTCAAGAACCTGCGATTGGTTCGGGATATAGGTAGGTGTTCTGTTTTCGAAATGCTCGTCTCTTGAAGTGTTAATTTGAGTATTAATTGTTGAATCAATAGTTGTCCGTGAAGGGTGAATCACACCCAACTATACTGAGAATACTGAGTGAAAGAGAGAACAAAGTAGACTGAGAAAGAAGAATTTTTGACTAAGAAGCTTTGGGATTTCATTGAAATGGGTTTGAGTATAAAAAATTGAGTCTTTAGAGATCAATTAAATAACATTCATGTAGATTGTGCTCACCCGCAACCCCCTGGTTAGAGATTGGCTTGAACATTACATTATTGGCTACAATCATGGTTATACAAAAAAAAAGAGAAAATATAATAATTGTGTGGCCTAATTAGAAGTCCGACTATAGGAATTCATCTACCAAACTTTGGTGAAATCAGCTAGTCGATCAATAGTTCATCTTGAGTAGTCGTCTTTCTTGGAGTAGCGACCAGGACCAACTTCATAAATAATAGTTGTTAGGGCCAACTATTAGGCAATACCGAGATATCAGGATGAGTTCTTGATCATAGCCGCTTATTTGATGCGAGTTCTCTGATAAGCCAACATGTATGAAGCTAAACAAGTTGAGTTAAATTGACTTGAACCAGTTTGATTTAACTTGAATTGATTTTATTTAGCTTGAACTGGGTTTTTTAGATATTGGGATGTATATTTAGCTCCTTGATTCTGTTATATTTTTGTAGGTTTATTGCAAAAAGAATAAGAAAATATCAAAATATTATTCATTAATTAATCATTGATGGTTGATAAATGCTTGTTTTAATGTTGAATATTAGTCAATAAATTTGATGTTGACTTTTTACATTGTCTTTTTGTACGCTTTTGCTGATATGTAGTGTTCATTAATTTGATGTTGACATTCTATGTTGTATTTTTGCACATTTTAGCTAATACTTAGGAGCTATTTGGTTTGTTGCATATAGGGTGTAAAGTAATCCAAATGCAGGTGTTTTGATAATTTAGTTGTTTAGTTGGATGAAAAATAAATTCAAGGTAAAGTAAAACAAATACAGTGTATTCCATTTTAGTTCATTTTAGTGTATTTGGAATTCCTCCTATTTGAGCGATTTTCAAATAACTCAAGGGAATTGCCTGTCGGTAGCCACCACTTCCGCCACCTCTAGCCATCTCCATCAATTATTTTTCTCCATTATGTCCTGTTAAAAGTTAAATTTTCATTTAAATCTAATAAACAAATGTCATTTCTAATATTTTCTAAACAAGTCTTTTTACATCTATCTCTACATTTATTAAAATAAGTCAAATCTAACACATCTACTTCCCTAATTAGGTAATTGAAAGGCTGTCGTTTTATCTGACCAAACCATCTAAGGCGACTCTCTCTAATTTTATTTTCCATTGGAGTTACTCCAACCTTTTCACGTATGGGCTCATTTCGTATCCTGTATCTAAGAGTAAAGCCACTCATCCACCTGAGCATCCTTATCTCTGCTACATTCAACTTAATAATATGCTTCTCTTTTAATGGCCAACGTTTCGCTCCATAAAGCATTGCAAGTCTAACCACCATCTTATAGAAATTTCTTTTAAGTTTGAGGGGAACTTTTCTATCACACAACAAGCCCCATGCATTCCTCCACTTCAACCATCCAACTTGAATTCAATTAATAATATCCCTATCTATTTCACCATCACTCTGAACAATAGGCCCAAGATATTTAAAACTTGTACTCTTATTAATGACTTAATCACCCAAAGTCACAATCCTCCTACATGAACTCTTATTACTAAAATTACACTACATATATTCAATTTTAGATCTACTCAAACGAAATCCTTTAGACTCTAAGGTAGACCTCCATAATTCAAGTTTACCTTCAAGTCCCTCTCTAGTCTTATCAACAAGAAGAATATCATCAGCAAAAAGCATACACCAGGGTACAACCCCTTACAAATGTCTAGTGAGAACATCCATGACTAAAGCAAAAAGATATGGGCTTAGGGCTGATCCTTTGTAATCCAACTGAAATAGGAAAATACTTGGTCAAACCACCTTGTGTTTGAACACAAGTAACAACTCCTACATACATATTCTTAATGACTTGAATATAAGCATTATTAACCCCCTTTATTTTCTAAAACTCTCCATAACACTTCTCTTGGAACTTTATCATATTCTTTCTCTAAATCAATAAATATTTTATGTAGATCCTCCTTATTCTCTCTATACTTCTCCATCAAACCTCTCAAAAAATGCATTCCTTTTACACTATTTCTTTTACACTACATTAATTTTATACTGTATTTTTTTTACACTGCATTCCTTTTTCAAGCAACCAAACAACCCCTTAGTCTTTAAAAGAGAGATCATTGATTTTAATTCAAAAACTTGCTTCCTTGATTCCTTCTTCATTGAGCTTGAGTTTAGCAAAATTTCATTGCTATCAAGATCCTTAGGATAAGATTAACATATCAAATGAAGATATCATAGCTAGCTTGTTCAACAAACATAAGAAATAATGAAAAAAGAAGAAGAAGAAGAAGAAGAGAGTTAACATTGAAGTGACAAAGGCTAAAGGTGAGATGCAGAAACGCACTTCTTCGTCGAAGCCCCTAGCCATCTAGCACTGTTCTTCTACTAGTGATTGATCTTCCTCATGTTGAAGTTGAACATTGGAAAGAAATTTAAAATTTTTACTTTTTTTAGTAAAATTTATGCTAGTAATTTTTTAATTTTAATTTTACTGAACATATTTTTAATGTATTTTTTATATGAGAAAATTTTAGGTGAGGCATATATTGCAAAAAAAAAAAAGAAAATTCTTGCATGCGAGAGTTTAGAAATCAGCCAAGTGGTTGATCTGTCGGAGACCAATATTGTATACCACCCGTAGAGGTTGAGGAAAGTCAGGTCGTCCAACCGCCTATTGCAATATGAGGATGAAGTCATCTAGTCGACTGTTTGGTATAGTTGCAGTATAAGTAGAGGGAGAAAGAAAAAAATTAGAATAGGAAGCTTTGAGATTTTATCAAAATGAGTTCGAGTACAAAAAATTGAATTTTTAGAGATCAATTGAATAAAATTCATGTTGATTAAGCTCACCTTGCAACCCTTAATTAGAGATTGGGGTTTGGGCTTGACCGTTACATAGTTGGCTACAAACATAACCATACAAAAATTAAGAGAAAATATAATAGTTGTGTAGTTTGAGCGTAAGGTCTGGTTGTAGTAAGTAATCTATTGAGCTTTGAAGAAGTCACCGACTCGATAGCCGGGTAGTTGATTAATAGTTTATCTTGAGAAGTCATCATTTTCATAGATGATAGTTCTTAGGGACAACTATTAGGCATTATTCACATACTGGGATGAGTTCTTAGATCATTGCCACTTTCTTGAGGTAATTTCTCTAATAAGTTAAAGTATGAAATTGACTAATTGAGTAGATCAAGTTGACTTGAACGTGCTTGATTTAAATTGAATCCTATTTTCTAGATATTTGGATTTATATTAATTGAAGTGGTTAATCTTACTACTTACATATTTCTGTGTCCATCAAATTTCATACTACTTCCTACCCCCTTCTTGCTACAATGAATGGATCTTAAGAGAAATCTGTTTCTCTATATGCTGGATATTCTTGTAGGACTTTTATTGTGGGAATTAGCTTATTGAAAGGTATCTCTAGCTTGTTTTTTGGTAGATTTATACAGCATCATCAATGTTAGCCTTCTTGTACCTTTTTTTTTGGGTTTCCTTCATTATGGGACCATTTGATATTTTATTTTAGGCAGGATTCATCCTTTCTGACAAAGCATGCAAATTGTTCAGTGTTCCTCTTTCTAATCACCGGGGCCTGTGAACCGCTTGGAAGCCCTAATCCATGTAGTGAACACATCTTGAGCCCGCATCCTAGTGCCAATCCACAAGTTTGCAATCCAGTAAGCATTCTTTTTTAATTGACATCTAAGACCGAACGGAGCATTCATTTTGAAGAAATTATGAGAGGTTCTGCACAATATATCATTTTAAGTAATGAGGTTCTAACGAAAAAATGTATGGGAAAAAGGGGAGAAGACATAAGTTCATCTTTGCCTTCTTTTTTTTTTTTGTTTCTTGGAAGTCTTGATTAAAGGAGCATAAAGAACTATAATTAATTTGTATCGAGGGATAAGAAAACTGCTTGAATCCTATGGCATAAATTTATTTGCACTTTGATTACAAGAGTCTTTTTAGCTTTGCCTGCATTTGAGACTTGTAAGATTAGTCATTCAAATCTTAGCAGAGGTCTCTAAGAATAGGCTTTAGCAACAATTTGGTCGTGTATCATCTGCTAATGTTAGTTAACTGCCACGACATAATTAAGATGTTCATGATCCTAGTCATACATGTGCTGAAAATCTTATCCTTAATTCTATAGACAGCTAACAAATTTTTGTTTTGGTAGTATTATACATTTTTTTTATTTTGCAAATTAGGTTTAATTACTTTTGTAGCATTTAGCATGAAAGAATTGTTGTTGGGGAATCTTAAAGCTGACTCAGTATAGTTGGGATAAGACGAATGATATAATTGGGATGTGATGAATGATCTATAATGCATCGATACTTCTCCTCAAAGAGTCATACAGTGTAAGGCTCGACATGTGTCAAACACACCTTTGACATGTGTCGGACACGACGGAGACTGATGCAAGCAAAAATATAGGGAGACCCTAATTTTTGCAAGCATACTAAAAACTTCCTAGGAAATAAGTAAATACACAAATATCACACTTAAATAAACTAAGATACAACTTTCATATTATAAAACGACACATACAAACTTAACATAAAAGAAACCTAAACTTGCATTCCATCGCTTGAGAAGAAAGATATAGATGGCGTCGAACTTGCAAGGAGAAGAAAGAGGTAAGAAGCCAAGACAAAGGAGAGGACAAGCTCGCAAGCTTTCCTAGAATAAGGAGAAGGGATGGAACAAGCTCGCAAGCTTTTCTAAGAAAACCCGTAGGTTTTGGCTTCAAAAAATAACTCCATAACATCCTTTTTTTATTCACAAAAATATCTCATATATATAAGAAAAAAGGGGTAGCCAACCAGCCAAAATACCATCAATTTAACCAATCAAAAACAGGAAAATGGAAGACCAACAATCAGTCCAGAAACAGAATCCGAACAGCCACACAGAAAATTGGTAGAGGCAGCCAAGGGAAAAGGAACGGACGGCTAGGGGAACCGGAACAGACAGCTAAAAGGAACAGGCAACCAAAGGGAACCGGAACCGGCAACCAAAAGGGGGAAGGAACCAGCCACGGGAAGGAGAGCCAAGTGGGGAAACCAAAGGGCCAATAAAGAGGGGGGAATGAACCTAATTAATCTCCAATTTATGAGCTTAAAAGGTACTCTACTAGACATTAATGAGCTGATTTTAATAGAGGTCATGGCAGCTTACTAAAAATACAAGTCAAAATGATTTGACCCCCACTCCCCCCCTGCCTACATCAGAGGTGTGTCCAATTAAAAAAATATTATAAATAAATTGGACAAGCTTTTTTGACATGCATGTCTTAAATAGTTTATGATTTTTTAAAAATAAAATTTCTTGCTCTTCCAATTTTAATTTATGAAAAACTAAATTTCTTATTTACTCTCCATTACCCCTAATCAATTGTCCATACTCAATATTCTATTCTTCGAACATTCTTATTTTTATTAGGTTTCACAACAACATTTGACGTCATCATAACATCAGTGCTTCAAAATTATCTCAACATCAAACTATGTTGCCTTGCATTAACGCTCGACACTAGATTCCCGTAATCTCATCGTCTCAAGATCTCATATTTGTCTAACGTCTTTTCAATATTGACAACCGACATTGTCTGATGCCTCATTTGCCTCATTGCACAACATCGATGCTCAACTCTAGATAACTTTTTCATCTCCGCTCTCGATGTCTGACACGATATCCATGCCCGACTTTCGACATCCTAATATTTATCATTTTAAGCATATATCTTAGTTAAATAACTTATTATTTACAATAATTCTTAATATTATGCTTATTTGATTTCCATACATTATTTTTAAGATATAAAAATTATGATATCATATCCAACCTGTGTCAGTGTCCTATATTTTTAATAATTGACGTATCCCGAATCCATGATGTGTCGTGTCCGTGTCACCATGTTCGTGTCTATGCATCATAGCCAATGATGATGATGTTGGTGGTGGTGTTGTAGACTTCTATTTGTACGACATTGGTATTGAATTAGGGAAAGACGTGCTAGTACGTTCAAAATGATTTGATTGTCTGTCTTTAAGCTGTTTGCTCCAAAATTTGTGTGTATTTTATATTTAACCAAGTTGTTGGATTGAACTGACTTCTGTTTTGAATCCTTGAGTGCTATCTGCAGTCACTGGTGCCTCACGTGGTTACGCGTTTGTTGAATTTGAAACTGAAAGAGAAATGCGACATGCATACATGGTCTGAGTTTCTTTTCACATCACTTAGCCTTTTCTCTTAATAGTTTCACAACTCTGCTGCGTGCTTTTTAAATGTACATGCAAAACTTCTAATATTATGCAATTGTCTATATGCTCCTCTTGGTACGTTTTGCCGTGAATCTATGTATATTCTTCATAAAAGGAATCACAAAATGCTTCTTATCCTGATATTTAAATCACATTGATGTTCTTCTGATTGTGAATCTGTTCTTGCATATTATTTGTGGTCAATCTGTTCGTGGATCTCAGTCGTAGTGATCTACTAAAATTTTCTCTCATGTTAAGTCTTCGTTATTTTGATGTTGTTATTTCTGGTTGGAATGCATGCAAACTTTTTACAGCGTATTATGTTTATAGATGATTGATAAGTTTAGCACAACCTGAAGTCTTTACATGGAAAAAAAAGCAATTGAGTTCAGAAGATACAAATTTGTGTACAAAAATAATAGTTGAGCCCTTTTCACTCTGAATTCCTTTTGATTTAGGTCCATTGTTACTCATTCACTCTAAATGACATGATTTAGGTATGTTCTTACGGAAATGCTAACTAGCTATTTATTTTATTCCTACCATAGTGTTTTAAGTAAAAGCTTATGATTTTGCCGATACCTGAAGATGATATATAAAACTTCTTTTCTCTTAGTGGCTAGTGATCTTAAGAATATTGCAAAAGATGTCCTTGGAGTATCAAAGGGTTTTTGTGCATATCTGCATGATGGATGGTCAATTTTCTGTGCTATGTGCTTCTTTCATCATGATTAAATTAAATTATTCATTATTATTAATTAGGATAACAACACAAGTTATTTTGAGCTAATCATGCATTTTGTCCAGCTATAATTTATGTCTTCATTTTTTCATCCATATTGATAATGAACTTTTTAATTATGTTTCTCCTTCGTAATGCAAGAATTGAGGCGGTCCAAAATATTATCGTTGGTGTAATGATATAATTTAAATTGAGCTATTTATTGATCTTATGAAAAATATAAAATTTGGCTTTATATATTACGTAAATGACGATGGTGATGCAGCCCATGAAAACAATTAAATGAGTTTTTTACTTTTATTATAATGACCCATATCACATTATATGAAGTATTGTCTGCTTTGTCATAGTTTGTCCATCCCAAGTTGAACCTTATGGATTTATCCTTCTTATTTTACTTCCCTGTAGTTCGCTCATTCCAAAAAAGCTATATCATATATGTATTTCCCATTGAAACTCTGCCCTACACTAATGATGCCTTAGAAGAAGTCATGCTAATGTTAGCTTGAAAGCTATTATTTCAGGAGAACTTCAAAATTGGAATATAATCATCCTAGCTACCTCCAATGTCAATAATACAATCTCACAATTCAAGTTCTTAGCAAATCTTTTAATGTTAAAATAGTATGCTCTAATTGATTGCTTGTTTAAGAATGAAATGTTGTGCTGAAGTCTAACGTTGTCCCAAAAATCTCCTGCACTTTCTTCTATAGCTTAGAAGTAAATTTTCCATCATGATCATATACCATATGATTAATTTCCCAAGTATTTGAATAATATTGTCCATATAAATTCTAATTTGCATATTTACTTTCTACGTGATATGTAGAAAATGAGCCATCTTCATGAGTCTATCAATGACTTTGTTATCATGGTATGGGTAGTGGTTTACAAACTCATGAAAACTATTCATTTTTTGCCTATCAAACAAAATAATACAGTAGATAAATGGGTAAAGATCTACATGGGAAATTTTATTCGAATGTATGACCTACCAGCCATTATCACATATGATTGTGATGAGAGATTTACTTTTATGTTATTGAATGTAAGTGCAAGAGGCTTTGGACATAAGATAAGACTTCATTACAATGTTTCATCCTCATGCAATCAATTAGTGCATGCTATTTAAAAATTATTAAGATTTGTTGGGAACTTGTATTCTTGAATTTGGAGATAGCTGTGTAGATTATATTCTACTCACAAATTTTTTCTGTAATAATAGTTTTCAAGTTAGTATTAGTATGGCATCATATGAGGTGCCTTTTTTTGTATTAGGTGAAATTTTAATGGGAACTCCATATTTAAGTGTGCACGATATATACCATATTACTAGGATGATTGAGATCCCAAGAAGTTACTCCATGAAAGATATAACCATGCCAAAGCATATAATGCCTTTCATGTAAGCTAAGTCATTAACTTTGTTATCAATTAGATCTCCTTTAGTATCATTTGTTGTTCCCTCCAAATCAAATCATAGGGGTTGAGTTCCAGATAATGTGTGGCTCATGCAACATGTTGTTCCCTCCCAATCAAATCATAGGGGCTAAGGTCCAGATAATGTGTGGCTCATGCAACATTTAGGATGAAAACTTTTAGGAGGAAACAGGGGAAGGAATGAACCAAATTTTATATCAGAAGTGGTGAAAATATTCTTGGGTATATAAGTGAAGGGATAAAGCAAATATGAGGGACTTTTTTGTTCTTATGGGTGGAGTTTCAATGAGAACTATACAATTATGTTTGCTCATGATGGAGCAAATCTTGCTAGGGTGACCTACTAAGAAGTTATACCAGGAATGATAAAATCATGAGATTTAGTGTAGTATATTACAAATTAAGTCAAAGTGGACAATACTTTTTATGATGTTGGCTTTGGCATTACACTGACATAAATGCTGTAACATTTATTTTTTATTTTTTATTTTTTTATTTTTTAAGGGTTCAAATCTTTGACATATTCGAAGCCATTCATTTCATACCCCATGCTTGTTCCTGACTTACTTTTTGTCGGTTGTCCTTTGTTTTCTCTTGATTTTTGTCATTGTTCTTCGTAGCCCAGACAATATGTGCTAATTATATCACATCAAAATGCCATTTTTTTAAGCAAAGTTGGGCGCAAGTTCTTCCAATTATCTTGACATAGCTGCCACCCTAGACCTTGCATAAAATCCACTAATTGTAGATTACTAAGGCCATTGTGTTTATATTTCATTTGAAAGAAGCACCGACTCTAGAAAATAACTTTATTAATCTAAAGTTTTTGTATTTTTGATAAGTTTTGATAGCTTACTTAAAGTTGATGGAGTCAAGTTTCTAATATATGATAACTTTTAAACGAGAATGCAATGATTAGTAGATTTCAAGCAGTTTATAGCGTTGAAAATATTTGACTTGTCTTTATACATAAAATTAGATTATCATTACAAAGACATTTATAGATGTATTAGAAGGCTTAATCCTACATTAGACTCTTTGAAAACTAGAATGTGTGGAATTAGATAATATAAGTTGAATTTAATCCATTGTTACTTTATAGTTCTGATGAAACTATTTATTCTCTCTTTTTGGAGGATTGTTATTAAGAGAAATGTAGATATGAGATGTTTCTAATCTCATTCTAGTGATTCATAAGCACATTTCTAATATGTGTTCGTTTCTCGGGGAAAAAGTCAGTTGATAATTTTTTATATTTCAAGCTAGCCTTTTAAATTTTTTTTATTATTTGCAGGATGCGCATCATTCAATCATTGATGACACTGAAGTGATTGTAGATTATAACAGGCAGCAATTAATGCCTGGGTGGATTCCAAGGAGGTTAGGTTAGTTGGATAAGTTACATTACTTATCTTCTTTCCTTCTTCCATAGCTCATCCCTAATCCCAAATATGAAGATTTTGCATATTAATAAATCTTAGAAACTTCTAATGTCTCCAATTTAATAGGCGGGGGACTTGGTGGAAAAAAGGAATCTGGTCAACTTCGCTTTGGAGGTCGAGAGAGACCATTTCGAGCCCCTTTGTATGATCCCTCACCACTCTTTTCTTTGTTGCCTTAAATTTTTGAACGAAAACACATTTTTTTTAGAGAACCATTTCTCCTCATACATCTTTTAGTTACCATGGAAAAAAAAAAACTAAATGGCTACAACGTAAGTAGTTAAAGTAATTAATGTAAAATGTAGCTCAAAGCTGTGTTTTGTCTACTTCAATTCCAGCCATTCAAATTTTTTGATAGAGGGTGAAATATATTTAAGGAGAAATGACTCTTTCATTCTAAGAGGATAGTAGCTCTCTCTCTCTCTCTCTCTCTCTCTGAGAGTAGAGTATCTCTCTCTCTCTCTCTCTCTCTCTCTCTCTCTCTCTCTCTCTCTCTCTATATATATATATATATAAATGATGTACAAAGCGAAATTAAAATGAAACTAATAGATATTAGAATATAGGGTTCAGGGTTTAGGATAGTAGCCCCTATAAAAAAATTGAAAATCACTACAACAGACTTATGTTAAAAGAAAAAAACATAAACTAGATAATTAGAAACTGTTAGTTCGAATAAATGTGATGTGTAGCACATAAAAAGATTTCCCTGCTTGTAAGACAAAGACCACCATGAACTTATCCCAGCCTTCAACATGAAGGCAGGTGCAAGAAATGAATGAATGCAGAAAGGACCTACAATCATCCCTAGCTACCATGTAGATCACATTCGAAGAAGATCATGACAGTGAATAAGGTCTTCCAGCATAACATATAAATGCTTGTTTCAATTCAAAACAATATACTGTAGACAATTAAGAATTGAATAGTAGAGATCCATATGCACAGTTTTCCATTAGCATAAAATCTAGATGCAATAACAATAGTGAAACATATTCGTTTGGCGAGTTAATAGGGGAGACGGATCATGGCAGCAATTATGATAGGGAAGCCACATCATTAGACTTTCAAGCCAGTAAGCTTCATGAAAATATCTCATATGTAATGTGATTAGAAAATTGCTATTGAGCATAATTATGAGAACTTGCTCGAATTTAGTAGCTCTAAATACAAAGTTAATCTATAAAACATCCCAGCTAGAGTTATTATAATATAAACAACAACAATAACCATATATACACAAAATAGGGGGCGAGTGAAGGAAGGAGAAGATGAAATGAAACAATCTCAAACTAGAAATTCATCATGCACCAAAAAAAAAACTAATCCTTTATTAGGCAAGCCGCACTCTCTTCAAATCAGGAATCAAGTAAACGGTAATATGAAGAAACCACTAAATAGCTTGACTGTAAGCCAACATGACACCTCAATATTACATCATTATAACAAGGGCGCAAACCACGAGGACGTAAATATTATCAAACTAGGAATAATCCAACATTGACAAAACCAAAATAGTAAAGCAAATAAAGGCAATAGCACAACTGGCTTCAATAAAAACAAATTAACAAGATTATCCAAAGGAGAAGCATGACACCAAACAACCAAAAACAATTGAATAAGAAAATAAAAATATTTAGCCATTATTTTTTGATGTAGGGGAATCTATCTTTATTCAATCTATCGATACTAAGGAGCATATTAGATTTAGGTGACCCCATCATAAGGCGAAAGTTCTTACAACTAAAGCACAATTTCACTAGGTAGTTTCCAGCTTGTTAAGCTTTTCTATAATAAGGGAAATCTAAGAGTCGAAGTTAGGGAGAATTTGCCTTTTTTTGTCATTTGAAGCTAAAAGAGTTCCACTTGCATGGTATATTATTATAGATATAACCAATAATAATAACCTCATTAGCATCAATATGAAAATTAGAAATTTTAGCCCTTAAACAATATTGTAATCCAAGAAAGGGATATATAAGTTCAATAATAATTGAGTTAGTATAACCAAATATTTGTAAGAAGTGAGAATAACATTATCCTTAATATCTCTATTAAGGATCCCACAAGCAACTTCCTCCATTTTTTCTTTTGAGCAACCATCAGTGTTTAATTTTAAAGAAGGAATTAATAGGCTTTTACCATTTCAAAATTTTAATAGGTTATTTTTTAGGAGGGATAATGCCAAAATCCAAGTAAGCAAAATTATAAACATTTTTTCATGCTACAATAATTGAATTAACCGCCTTAAGAAAATTTAACTCTTTTTAAATGGAGTTAATAATACCCTTAGTTTAAACTTTAACACTACTATGTTTGGCCTATTCCTAGCTTTTCAATGCCCAAAATAAAGCATGGAAGGATACAAATAATGTGAGACAGTGAGAGTTATTTACTTGATCAACATAGGTAACCTATTTCATAAATAACATAATTGATGCACATGAAAAAATTGAAAAACTAGCAAAATGATCCCAAATCTTCTTGAAATGGATAATGTGAGAAACAGTTTTAATATGGCAACAACAATGTTCTTTAGAAACTAACTGGATATCCCTCAATTGAATAACATTCACACGGATGAAGCGTATCCTCTGCATGAAATAGAAATGCAAAGTGGATTGACATAATTCTAAACAAACTTAGTAGAGGAAATGTTGGCATTTTGTCTAATATTTTTTTATTTGCATTTGCAGGATAAGTTAGTTTTCCTCACATCTTTCTTGAAGATATTACCATTAGTCTCATGATTGAAAAAAAGAGACTGTACACTCGCATGTGTATCACATTCTCCATCCCTTGATTTATAAAGGAAGGCTTCCCATCTTTCCATTCTCAATTAGTGAGTAGAAGAGCTCCATCCTATGTCTTCAAGCTTAAGGGTACTGACTTCCTAGCTCCAATTACCTTAATTAAATATAGTTCCTTCTTTAGCAACACATTACTGTTAAGGATTTTTAGGATTATTCCCCTTATTGATAAATATTATACTGTCTCCATACTTAAGGTCGCAACTCTTCCAACCCATGGGGAGCTTTATTGAGTCTCTATGTTTAGGGAGGCCCCTCTCAATTACTTACTGCTACTCAAGGCTTTTATGCTCAATGATTTGCAACCGTTGACCACCAGGCCTCAATATGAGCCTGTATTGGTGAAGCTAGGCTTAACGATTTTGAGACTTGGATAAAAATTGAATTTTAACTTTCATGGGACTCCAGTAGCCATCACAATAATGAAATTCCCTTTCCAAAACTCTGGTTTTATTCTTGTAATTCACCAATCAAAACTATATGATTCATATAAGATATCACCAAACACTCATGCATTTGATTCGAAGCCATTCAAATGTTTCTATATTTTGAAATTATACGATCAAAGCTATCCATTGTAAAAAGAATTGAGGCATCTAATTGTTGATCAATGGTCTTAAAAATCTTCAAATTATGCATTCCGTTAATTTTAATGATGTTAAAGAAATATATGTTTTTGATCATTCACGTGACATAATTTGGTGGAGAATGATAATACTCCACCTAGGAAGAGAAAAATTCTTCCTTAAGTCCATACATATACAAGTATATCATCTTAGATAGTCATCAAACATAAATCACACCTTTGTAAGAGGAAATTTTTTTTAGAAGGATAGAGTCATTTATCCTCACGTGTTTTATTACAAATTTTTAATCTCTAAATTAAGATGCATCTTTTAGCTTCTTTTTACGTTGATGGTTAACTACTATAAATTGTAGTCATTCAAAATTTGTGATGAATGGTAAAAACTGTAAGGATAAGATGTTTTATCTCTCTTATAGAGAAGAAGAGAGATAATTATTTGCACAGTTTTATGGAATGACTGGACACTCATCAGTTATATCTCCGGGGCTTTTGTTTATGTAGGCGTCCAATCCCATATGATGATTTGAAAAGGCTTGGCATTCCGCTACCTCCTGAAGGGCGGTTCTTATCCCGCTTTCAGGTATAAAAATCATTCCTATGTTCAATATTAACAAGTATTTCTCAACGGTAGTTCAATATTTATTTGGCGTTGCTTATATAGATTGGATGGTATCAAAATTATATGCTGAAAATGCACTGAACTTTTTGGAGTTGAGCAATGAAGCAACTTGGACCAGTTTCTGTATCTCTCCATCTAAAACTTACACGTGACCACCAACTTTGATAGGGGGAGCAAAGAACCATCCTAAATCCTAAATGACGAAGTTTCACAATAAAATTTTTATAGTATCTCATATCACTGTTTATTCATAGGTTTTAGGAACTTTATGGCAGTAAAGTTTTTTTTTTTACCAGGCAAAATGGAACGTAGAATGTATCATAAGATGGGTATATAAAATAAATGTGAAAATCAAGCAAAAGGGTAGAGTGGAGAATATATGGATATAACTATATAAGCTGAGGAAAAAGATTTGCATCAAATAGAGTTGATCCTTTTTTTCAACATTCAGCATGAATGAATGGAGAATGATGATTAACAAAGACAACACCTTTTAGTTAAATAATTGTAATTTTGATGATGAGGAGAAGTGGATTAATTCATCTTTTCGACTCATTATCAATTTTTAGTATCTCCCAGCTTATATTTCAGAGTACTTGAACGTTGCTGTTTTAGTTTCATGCTCTTCTACCTCATTTTCTGATGTCAGGTTCCATCACCCCCAAGGCGTGTCAATCACATGGAAGGGGAAGAAGATTCACCTACCAGGCATAGGGCATTTGGGGATAAGGAAGATGCTCCCCCAACGAGAAGCAGTAGACCTGCAAATTATCAGGAAGATTCGAAATTGAGATACCAAAGGTTGGAGGAAAGGGAAGAGATTCCATCTAAATCTGGGGACGACTCACATTCAAGACACTTAAGACACCTAAGATCAGAGGATGCGAAAGAGGTTCCAGCTAAATCGAAGAACAGCTATACTGTAAGAGAGGAATCACCCCATCGGCACAGGAGATCTGTTGATGATGGCTCGAGAAGAAGAAGAAGAAGAAGTAGAAGCCCATCTGATGGAGCTGATTCATCACATAAACCCCACAGGGATTATACTGAACGATCACATCGGCACAAGAAGTGATTACCAATTTGAGAGTTCAATTTATTGTTTGATTCTACTCTTTGTCCGACAGTTCACCTTTGAAGCTTGAAATAGAATCACGTTTAAGGGGATTTCTGTACCAAAGTAAGAATGCTCAAAGCTTGAACCATAGGTTAGTCGAAGTTGCTCAAAACCTGTATTTTACGCGCATCAAGTTGCATTCCGTTTTAATGTGATTCCTAAGTAAGACACGCTCAGGTACGTAGATTTGATGGCCTGATGTTCCAAGCTCATTACCTGTGGCTGTGGTCAGCCAAGAAACATGAACTAGGTGCTTATAACAAAGACTTCAAGAAAGAACGTGTTGTACGTACCTTCCTATAAGAGATCCTTAAAACAAATTTATTGCAAGTCTTCCTTTTATATCATTTAAGGTTGGAGTATAAGAATGAATTTGTTGTTTGAACGAATTAGTACTAATCAAGAGTGAGATAATCTAGTTTTGTTCCAATTTTAAGTTTTTTGGGCTCAAACCCAACAAAGTAAATTGGAGAAAGTGGCTATGTGGTATATATGACATTGATGAGATAGTGTTGGACATATAAATATGTATGATGTTGATGCACATGGATGTGTTAGTGTTTGTATTCTTTGATGAGATAAGTATGCATTAACCAATAACCTTCATATGAAGGTTCATGAACTCCATCAATTTAAATTATTATAGCTTATTTAACATTTTAATTATTAATGCCATGGAGTATTATTCTAAGTTGATTGAATAATGCACTTATTATATTAATATGAATTGTTACTCATAGTGTCTTCATTTATCATATTGCATGCTTAATATTTAATCATTTATGACAATTACCTATTTCATTTGTGCCCAGAGAACTCATTTGTTGTCAGTTTCTCTTAATCGATCCTTTCAAGTTTGCTTCTGGACCATTATCACCAGAGCTAATTCTTGAGCAATAACTATTCTTTGTGTTTGGTATTTGTTTCTTTTGTGGTTTCTTTATTTAGACATTTGTGCGAATTTTTTGTCTAGTTTTGTTGATATAATGAGTTCTTTTTCTTTTCATTGATTTGGTGTTTTAGCTTCTTCGATGATTGAATGTTAGTATTTTCATTTATTTATGTATTTCATATATCTTAGGTTATGTATTAACTTTTGGGGTTGCTAGCATATTAAATCCCTGCAACATATCTGAAGTTATTACGGTGTTATAGAGTTTTATCTGAGCTTAGTTTTGTATAATTGTATTAATAGGGTGTTATTTAATTTATTTTTATGATAATCTTGGAACTTATATAGCTCCACATAATTGAAAGTAAAGTTAAATAAATATAATAGAAGGTGATAAACAATTTTGTACACCCTAAACTAAATGCTACATCATAAATGATTACTCTTTGAATATAAAACAGAAAAATAAAAACCAATATAAATGCTCAATGGTTTCTTCACTTTTGTAAAAAATCTAAGATTCAAAAGGATATCATCGTCCACAAGTTAAAAGCCCATCCAACTTCACCTAAAGCTACTTCCAACTCATTAATATGCCTATCAAGCAAAATGGAATGGCTCTTTGTTTTTTTTTTTTTTAATATTTTATTTCTTATATATAATTATATATAGTCAATTATAGATAAATAGATATGATGTCATTTACAGATGAAAAAAAAAAAGAGACATAACATAAAAGGATTATCCTAATAATGATGAAATAAATCTTTTAATTAGAGCTATAAAGTGAGGATTTATAGTACTTGCCATTGATAGAGATGAACATAAATAATGGCACCCACCAAACAAAAGTGCATGTTAATGAATTCCAACTAAACTTTTCCAGCCGAATTAATGGCAGTCACCTAAAGCAACCACACAAAAGGAGCTCGAAAGGAACTTAGGCATGTACTGTACGTAAGGCTGTAGGGTCACACTTCCCTTGTTTCTACAAAATCATTTATAAATATAATATAATATATATTGAATATAATCATTATATTGAATTATGAGCTAGCTACGTACACTCTAAACTATGCCCAATCAAACGAAATGTTAACCAAGTTGTGTAGCACATGCTGCTGCCTGCAACAAGATCGACTTTCAACTTTAGTTTGATTACAAGTACGGGTTACATATGACGAGTCGCTGCTGGCCATCGATCCAAGAAAATGATAGTAATTAAGATGTTGAATAAGGAATTCAGCCAGCTGTGCCTGTTGTACGTACCTCAACTATTGATCGAGAAATTATTATGTATGGAGTCCAAACGATAAAGAATCGTCCGGATGTGAGTGTACATATTATGTATACTTACATCTGAATGATTCTTTACCGCTTGAAAAGAATAATTTCTCTAATTAAAGTGATCATATACCTATATAAAGAAGTCTTTCTAAATGTTATATTGCTATTTGAATGCATGATTAATGACTGTAGCCGTATTCCTCTGATTAAGCTTTCAACAGTATGCCACTGGAAACTTTACTTCTTTTCATGTGGCTGATTAATTATGGAAACTAGGCAAAATAAATGATTCAGCTGAAACTTCGGCGTGTTCTAAAGCCAAGTGGAGACCACTGCCGCTCAAATCTTAATGCTCCTGACAGTGACTTTTAGGGTACAATTTCTTCTCAGACGGATTTCATTTCAACACCCATATTGAATCCATATATTGTCTCATATATTTAATGAGATTCATGTCTTATATACGTACACATTTATTTTCACCTCTCAATGCAATTCTTTTTAGGGTTATTCCTAATTAATTTGTACAATTGGCCCAATGGTCATCATAGTACATCATCACTGTTAATTAGGAATATTTATTTTTTTCTTTGCATGTAAGGCTTTCTCCAACCGAATTCAAAATGCATGAATGGCGTCGCTCAAGAGCTCTAGCCGAATGGCAAAACTTCCACTGTTTGGTTGCAGGTGAACAGTTGGCATCTCACTGGTCACCTACACTATTTTTCTGTATCTATTGGATTTGTTGAAGAAATGCACGAAAAAGGAGAAAGAATGTTATATTCGCATAATGATGCAAAATAGAGTTAGATTGCTTCATTTTGAAGTGAAAAATGAGATTTCTGATTGGAGATGCCCTAAGTACTCTAGTCAAATATATCAATGGAATGGACGATGATGTTTCCAGCTACATATCTAATTAATTTCTTTCACATGGCTAGCTCCTTTGAATTCTTCTCCTCATATATGCTACGTACGTACCAATACATACAACTATAAAAGTTCCACCAACCGAAATTATATTCAAGCTCACCCCACTATAACCATCCATCCCCTCCCGGCCCCTCGCTATATATATATTTTTTCTATTTTCTTACTCAAACTGCCCTTATCTATATATGTTCATATAGTCACAAATCCCCCCACATTTGAACGCCTAACAAATCCTTGAAAGAAGCCAGCTCTAGCTACTACCTAGCAATGGGTGGTCAAGGAGACCCTCCACTCCTCCAAGACCTTAAACTAACCATCCTTAGCTCCTCCGTCCTCCACCCCTCGCCTCCTTTGGAGAGGCGGTCGATGTTCCTCTCCAACATCGACCAAGTCCTCAACTTTACCGTCGAAACCATCCACTTCTTCGCTGCCAATCCCGACTTTCAATCGGAGATTGTAGTGGAGAGGTTGAGGTCTGCCGTGGAGCGAGTGCTGCTGCCATATGACTTTCTGGCGGGGCGGTTGAAGTTGGAGGACGAGGAAGGGAGATTAGAGATTGATTGTAATTCTGCCGGTGTTGAGTTCTTGGTGGCTGAAAGTAAGTTGAAGCTTGATGAAATTGGAGAGCTGGAGTACCCAAATCCGGCTTTCCGGCAGCTGGCCGCCGCCAGAGCGGTGAAAGAGGGTGTGAAGATGGAGGACCAACCTTTGTGCTCCTTTCAGGTAATAAATCCATGCATGCTTTTGACCGTTCTAATTATAGACGGATGGTAGATTTCTTGCGTGTATAATATCATATATTCTTATAAAAATCTAAGGGGGGCCTAAAATTTTTATCAATATTCAAATTAAAATTTACTATTAAATATTCAATTTTTTAATCTGATAATATTGGTGTTTTTTTTTTTTCTCTCATTACGAATAGCTAACATTCTTCAAATGCGGCGGATTCGCTCTGGGCATTTCCAACAACCATGTCACCTTCGACGGCATGAGCTTCAAAAACTTCCTCCAAAACCTGGCTTACCTCGCCGCCGCCGGCCACAACAACACACTTCCCACCCCACCTTTCACCAACCGCCACCTCCTCTCCACCCGCTGCCCTCCACGCGTCACCTTCCCCCACCCCGAGCTCTTCGAAACTCCTTCCTCCGCGATGCTCGAACTCTCCCCTTCGACCACCACATTAAACTTCAAGCTCCTCCGCCTCTCCGCCGCCGATATCTCCTCCCTCAAACTCCTCTCACAACCCCACTCCACCCGCCCCACCAGCTTCAACGTCGTCGTCGCCCATCTCTGGAGATGCAAGTCGCTATCTTTATCGCCGGATCAGGACCTCAAACGGACGTCCATGGTTCTCTACGCCGTGGATATAAGAAAAAAAGTTTCGCCGCCGCTTCCGCCGGAGTATACCGGAAATGCGGTTTTGACGGCGTATGGGGCGGCGACGGTGGAAGATGTCGGGAAAGGGGAGTTTGGGAAGGTGGTCGAGGCGGTGGCTAAAGGAGCGGAGCGAATGGAAAACGAGTATGCGAGATCCGTGATTGATTGGGGTACGTTGCACCGCGGGTTTCCGAAAGGGGATATGTTTGTGTCGTCTTGGTGGAAATTGGGCTTCGCCGACGTGGAATTTCCGTGGGGTAAGGCTGTCTACGTGTGCCCCGTGGCACATCCGCGGAAGGATATCGTGTTGTTGTTTCCGAGTATTGGTGGGGTGGACAAAGGGGTGAATGTTTTGGTGGCGTTACCAAAAGAGGAGATGGAGAGGTTTGAAGAGTATTTTTACAAGTTGTTGCCGACCGCTGAGTGATGATGTAATGATGTTGTTATGTTATGTGTATAGCGATGATGGTGGCATAATAGCATGTTGCATAAAGTATATGTGGGAGGGGAAGATGATATGTATGCATTGAAAGATGTATGTAATGTATGAATGAGTGAATGGAAGTGCATGGAAATGTTTGGATGGTTTATTTGCTGGATGAAAAAAGTGATGAAGAGTATGATGCCTCTAGAAATTAAATTATGATTTCAGTAAAGAATTTGTTTTTTTTTAATTACAATATTTAATCTTTATTTGGTTGGAGATAAAAAAAAGACCGCATATAATTTTTTTTAAGCATGTGTTTTTGTATGATCGGTCGGTCGTGATACTAAAATATTATAGAAATAAATATAAACGTTTATATATAGTTTAAGTGTTTATAAAAAAAATTATATGATATGTACGTACATAATTCCCCTTTTTCACAATAAATAGAGAGAATATTTAATGGTTAGTTTTTTTTTTTTTTTTTCATTTGCAAAGTCATTTATAAAATTAAAAAAAAAAAATAGAACTATGAAACAGTTAGAACTCAAGTAAACTTAGAATATTCGATCATTAGCAACAACAAAAGATAGTTAAGCTTGCAATCAAGACTTAATGATGGAATTAATATTTAAATTTAGCGGTTGTAAAGTATATATTAATCTAGTCATGCATATGTCATGAACACCTATTGCCTAGCTAAGAGTCACATGTCTTCATCAATCCTAATTTGGAGGTATGCATATCTACATTTTAATTTTTTAAAAAAAGTACATTTTAATTATTTGTATATATATAATTAGGTTCATTTAATAATAAATGAATTTTATCCTATATATCACGCATGAATTGACCAGCAGTGCTTCTAGTGTTCATGGGAGCTAGGGAACAAATCTCCTCTCGTCTTGCTAGGGTTCTAGAAGATTGACAAAGAGAAAGAAGTTTCTCTTGCAAGTGAGAGGGAGGACATGAATCAAAAGTTTAAAATAGATGTTTAACAAATAAATAAACAATCTTTTAATTAAAAAATGCAAAACTTCTAAAATTGGTTGTTTTCATGACTTGGGAGCTAAACCAATCATTATTAATCTGTCAACTTGCTCGAAGGCACAACACTGTAAAACACTTAATTTGGTTAAATACAAATAATACAAGCAAAGTTTATTCCACAAGTTGGTTATGCATGCTTTTAACCTTTAAGCAAATAAGGATGGGTTGAATTCCCTCAATTGATTCATTATGCCTATGTTATGCCCTAATTAACCACACATCTATTATTGATGCAGGACTACGAATGAATGCAATGTTTTGTAAGAGATTACACAACTCTTGATTAGAATAGTAATGAAGAAACCTTTAGCATTTTAAAACAACGAATAAAACAAGAGAGGGATCACAACCGCTTTGGCTAAATTACATAACCAGATATTTAGAAAAGCTTTCAAAACAATTAGTAAATCACTTGATGCCGTAGTAGTAGTTTCAATACAATCCCTAATCTAACAATGAAAATTAGTAAGCATAAATGCATGCTCAAAATCCTACGTTTACTAAGCTTAGCAGTATCAAGGAGAGTTGTCCTTCGTGACTACGTACAATCAAGCACAACAGAGAGTTAGACTAAAGAAATATAATGACAAGGGGAGAAGGGAACCTCTCGTCAGAGACTGGTGGAGATCCTCCACTCGACGCCTTCGAAGTGCTCGTCGATGGCTTCCACTAAGATGTCCAAAATACGCTCTAAGTAATCCTCGACGGTGTGATCAATCCTTAGATTCATGTCGAAGAAAGTTGATCGGAGAATATCGGTGAAGCCGTCCTCATCCCAAGTTAAGTTGTATTCAGTCTTTGGATCTGCCATTCATGGGAGCTAGGGAACAAATCTCCTCTCGTCTTGCTAGGGTTCTAGAAGATTGACAAAGAGAAAGAAGTTTCTCTTGCAAGTGAGAGGGAGGAGAGCCAAGACCAAAAATCTGAAATAAGTTTCAGATTTTGTAAAGGGTGGGGAGTTAATAAGAGAGCCAAGAAGTAAAAATCTGAAATCAATTTCAGATTTTAGAATTAATGAGCCTTGAATTTGAATTAAACTCAAAAGAGGAAGGGAGAGGGATAGGGGCTGGCGACAAGGAGGGAGGGTGGGGATTTATTTCCTAAAACCCATTGATAGGTTTAGAAAGAAATAATATGATTTGTAAGCTTTGAAAATTTCGGCCTAATAGGGACAATGAGGATTTGGGAATTATTTCAAAAAGGGAGATTTGGGTTTAGGAAATAATTATTGAAGCATTAATGGGCTAGGAGAGAGGGGGAGGGCCGGCGGCATACATGGGCAAGGAGAATTTAATGAGAGAATGATGTCTTCCTAATTTAGGTCTTTGGTTTTAGGAAAGATTTAATTTCAATCCTCATGAATTTAAAATTCAAAGTTAGATTTAAATTAGGCACTTCAAAAAAATAGAATAACTAAATTAGGAAAGATTTTGAATTAAAATTTAAATGAATTTGAATTTCAAATTATCCCAATTAGTCCCAACTTAATTTAGGAAACCAAGGAGGAGGGAAGTGGAGGAGGTGGCCGGCGGTTATGGGGCATGCCCGGCGGCAAAAGGGAGGTTCGAGTAAGAGTGGTCGGCTGCTTATGGAGGAGAAATTGAGGAGTTTGGTGTGGGGAAGATGTTGGTTGGAATTTGGAGGTGGGATTGGATGTAAGGAAGACGAATAACAGAGGTGGGAGGGGAAGACGAAGGCAAAGGAAAAGAACCACGAAATCGACCGTCTCCAATGTTGGTGGGTGATCCGTTCTCCCTCTCCTAGAGATATCTCCAAAGTTCTCTCCAAGAACTCTCAAACGCTCTCAAAACATAAGTGTGGAAAAAATAAATCTCTTAATCATTCATTCATTACCTTCAAACATAAAACATGAGGCTATAAATAGCCAAGTACAAGGGACTCATGAAAACAAAAGACAAATTTGCCCTCCGGGCTTACACACGACATTTCCCACTAAAAGGGTACAACTGGAAATATAATAAAAACAAATACACGACACTAAAAATAGAAAATACATGAATAAGAAAATACATAAATACTCAAAAATATAAAGACTCGATTGTGGTCGTAGATCGGGGGCCACGCCTCTGATAAACCTTCCATGAGCTGATGTCCCCATCAATCATTCTCTAAGACTTGCATATTCATCAATGACAATGTATGGGAGGCTTATATAGCAGGTGATTCTCGAGTCCCAATTCTAAATTCAAGATAAATGGCAAAATAAAACTTGTCATTTCCTATAGGCTAAAGAAGGTATGATCTCAATTATTCTTTTACTCTATATCTTTTGCTTGTAAGCACTAACCAACTCCCTACTCCACACTCTTTTGTTCTTTTAGAATTCTAGTTGACTAATAAATATGACATGTCACACATTTGACAGTTCATTAACCTTGACTAGTTAAGTTTGATTTTTTTTTTCTCTATTAGATAAGGTTAAAGCAATAGTAACGAGCTAATAAAATATAATATTTCTCCAACTTGAATCTGACAACAAAGCACTATCTTTTGTTTTAATGAGTTTTCATTGTGTAACTTTTGGTATGTGACATATATTATTGTTCTAAACATTTTGATTTTTTTCTATAGAATTTTCACCATTTAGTTTTGCATGTATGTCACATTATCTAAAATGAGTAGAAATGATCGAGTGCACAATGATTATGAGCAAATGTATTAAATCTAGATATGAGATATATGATATACATATGGTTATTATTCAATTGGCATGACATGCATTTTGGGATAATAATTGCATATTGATAAACATAATATATAGATTTATATGTTATGATAATTGCATTTGGTATATACAAGATGTGTATATAAATGATGTGATATGAGTAATAACATGTAAAATGTATGAACTTGTAAAATGAATGAATTGATATGTTATGAGATTGACATTGATATGATTGAGAGGGAAGATGATTGACAATATGATATTTATTATTATGTTTTACATAATATGAAATGTGTGTAAGAATAAATAGATGAAAATGAACGAATAAGTTAGAGGTGGCAGATGAGATTGATATTGATATGATTGAGAAGCCTAATGACTTTCTATTTTGCATTACTCTACTCTGTGTTGGATAATACTCTGCTCTGCTCTCTAGGTTGGCTATGAATAACTATGTGTTGGAATTTTTTTATTTTGCTTATTGTTTTGGCTCTAAATAACTTTGTGTTTGGAATTACATAGCTCTGCTCTGATTCTGACATTGGATCTGATTTATTGGTGTACGAATAGTTAAAACCAATGTAAATGATAGATGTCATAATATATATGGCAGATGATAAAGATGATATATTATTTATATATAATCGACGATAGATATGAAATATGATTGATGATATATATGACATATGATTGATATGAAAGATGATTGATATATGATAGATAATAAATATGATATATGATTAATAACCAATAAGATAGATGACAAATATATGATATAAGATGATTGATGGACTAATAATACTGATTGGCTAATTGATTAAATAATATAATAAATTGACTTAATTATATGTAGCCGGAATAATAGAGTTTAATACCCTATATATATATATATATATAAATCTGGGTTGCAGTGATATGACGCTATGCTGGACAAAGAATCGTGACATCGCTAGATCTATTCTATAATAACTCTTAGATCACATGCATCACAGCGGTGCTAGAAAGTTGGGTGCCATGATGCTGTGCATCGAATCAACTTTTTAGAATATTTTAAATAATTATCCCTCATCACCACCCCATACCCTCCCTTAAGTTAATTCCACACTAACAAGTTTCAGTCAGTTCTCAAAGCAAATAACATGATATTTAATGTTATCCTGTGTTTAGGATTTAATCTGTGAACTACATTTTGAACCTAACTAACAACATATTATCGCTAAGCTTAAACAACTATTTGTAGGCAAAGATTGGGACAAAGAAATAGACTTTTGCCTTGGAACTTTTGCATTGATTGATCACTTCAGAATGATGATCGCTGGTGATGGAGAATATGGTGGTAAATAAAAGGTCAAGTAGCTTCTTTCTTGAAAGTTCATCAAGAAGCTCATAATATACTTTCAAATATATTTTCCTCAAAATGTCTCATTATGAAGATTAAAGTTAAAATTTTCTTCTATTTCTTATGGAAAGTACAAAATTTTCTACATAGTGCAAAAGTAAATTAAATGTGGGCTTGATTGGAAGAAGTAAATGCAAAAAATCTTCTAAGATATTTAAAATTTCTTATATAGTTTATTAACTTTATTTTCAATGTATTTACGGACTACTATTTTATTTAATATATATATATATATATATGTTTTAAAAGAAATATTTTAAAAAATAAAAAATAAAAAATAAAAAATCTTATATTTTTCTTACAAGCAATTAAGTCGGACAAAGTTTTTTGAATATATAATTTTATTTTATATTATATATTAGATACATTTGATTTTTAATTAGTTATAATCAAATGCAAATGCCGCTCAGTATTGCAGATTCTTGGGGGCGAGGAATGAGCTCCTCTCTTAAGTAGCACTGACCTTCCAAACAGCAAACATTTATTACATCCAATGAAATGGAAAGGCCGTGCTATGAAAGTGTTCCATGCATCTTAGCAAGATAACGTGGACGAAACCAATTCGACCTTCTACAAACTTCTTTTTTCAGCACACACATCAAACGCCTCTTTTCTGTTACTCGCTCTGCTTCGCGCCTTATACTAAAACATTACATTTTCGCGCTCAAGCCAAATCGATCATTCGATCGAATGCCCTAGCGAAACCCTAGTAAAATCCTATCATTTTTTTTATTCCTTCTTTCTCTCCAGAAATTATTACGTAGGAGCATTCGTCACTTCGATGGAGCCGCCGGAGATGGTGCCGGCGGAGGAAACAGTGGAAGCTTTGATAGAAGGTCTCGTCTCCCCCTTCCTGCCTCGCCGTGGAATCTCTTGGGATAACCCTTCTACCGAACAGCAGGAAGCAGTCGCCAAGCAGGTATGCACTGTTAACAAATTCCTTCTACATGCAATGTTATTTTATTTTTAAAATTTATTTGGCATGAATTCCGCAACAAATGTGTTTAACATTTGTGAAATGATAAAATGTGCTCACATTCCTTCTACTTTTTTTTTTTTTTTCTCCTAATTTTGTTGTATTTTTGGCGCGGCTTAGCTGAACTTGATTGGTTGAAATGTTTTTTGTTTAAGTAAAATGCCTGTTTGGACAAATTAGGGCAATGGGTATGAGTTCTTCGCATGTATAGCAAATGTTAACCATAATTTAGGAATCATTTGGTGGATGGAATATGTTTCTGCGATGAAGGACTGACATTTGGTCGGCAGTTATGAATAAATTAATGTTATAGAAAACATTGATGATGAGTTTTTGGTTGATACCCTTGCTTATATATTTTTTTTAATATTAATTTTCAGCATAATATGCTTTCTTATTGGAAGTTTCATTATGCTAGTAAGTTAATGTTAACCTACTTGTTGACACTGTGAATTTGCAGATGTATGCAGTTAATTTGCTGTATAATTACTACCATCGGAAGCTGTTTCCGAAACTAGAGTTCCTGGATTTCAATTCATTCTGTAAAATAGCTTGCATTTCTAAACCTTCGCTTTTGAAGTATATGAACGCTATGTGCAAAAGTGATATGAGTTCAGGAGATCTGGATGAACCTCTTTCAATCACAGAGAGGATGATCATGGATGCTTGTAATGTCTCTTCAGCATTAGATGCATCGAAAGATTTTCCTGACATGAAGGGATGGCCTATCTCTAAAGTTGCAGTTTTTCTAGTAGATCCATCAAAGGAACACTGTTTACTAAGGTCCAGCAGCAGTACTGTAACCGTGAAGTTATTGATTGAAAAGAACCTTGAGATGCCCCTTGAAAATGTTGTTGGTGTACCGGAGATGGGTAATGCATTAGGAAGCAATACAAATGCAAGTGGGCTTTTAAAAGACAAGTTCAATGGTTTGGAAGATCGCCTCCAAGAGGTTGCATTTTCTACAGTTAAAGAAGAAATGGGTATGTTACAATTCCTTTTTTTTTTGCCCCTTGTGTTGAAGCAGCTCTCTTCTCCAACCGTTCACTCTCCTTTTGTCTATGGATTCAAGCTAACTTGTAAGCTAAAATGGGATTAGACTAACCCAGGAAGGGGGGAACATGCATGAACAGACATCTATGTGCTTGTGCATGCATTTGCTTATATAAAAAATATAGGGCAAGAAGCAGGGTGTGAATAGACATGCCCTTTTTTTGGGAGGCACACCACACTTGCCTTACTATCTCAATTTCACTCTGACATAACCTCTCCTCCTTCACCTTTTGACTTTATAGATCCTGTCTCTTCTATGGATGACACAACTGCTATAACAAACATCCTTGATGATGCAACATACCATTTGAACCTAGGCATCTGCTTATAGAGGAGGCAACAAATCATATCTTACGTAATGTTTGATAATATCTTCATTATCCGAAAGGTAATCTTTCATCCCTATTTCAAGGAAATTTTCAATATTATTCCACCATCAAAAAACTTTCTTGAGCCTTGCTTCTACCGTGAGGTTAGTTCAAAACCCTGTTGGTAGTACGTCATATATAAAGAACTTAATGTCCTATGTTAAACACATACTTGAGGTTTAGTTGATTTATTTGTAGGAGAATCAATTGTTGGCTAAAAATGGATATAAAAAATCAAAATTAAACTAACTTAGATGGGTCATTTGACCATCATAAAGCATTGCTTATTGCAAAAGCTTCACACAAGATTATGGTGTTAACTTTTATGAAATATTTGCTCATATTGTTTGTCTCACATTTGCTCTCTTGTTGTTGTTGTTGTCTTTCACCATTAACCTCTTTTCAAATAGTTGTAAAAAATGCTTTCCTCAAATGTCATCTTAAGAATGAAGTTTATATGTTAGTTTGTGTTGTTCCTGGGACAATGTTTAGACCCAAAGAACACTCTTTGGCGTCAAACTAGCTCCCCGAGCATGATTTAAAATTTCAGCAACACTATTAATATTATGGCTATTCTTGTAGTCCTAATGCCTTTGTTCATTACTCCATACTAACAATATTTATCTTTTAAGTGGATGGTATGATCATTACATAAGTGTCAATAAATGACCCGACATGAATCCAAATTAACAAATTTGGGTTCTTGTTGACTTGATTAGTATTTGTGTCGGATTTGGGTCTAAATATTAGACCTGATCATTATTTTGGTTGGGTTTAAACTGATCCAAATAACCAAAAATCAACTAAAAAATAACACAATTATTATGTGGGTTCGTGTTTGGAAAATATACTTGTATACTTTAAGTTAAACAGGTAACATTCTGGATAGTTGGGTCGTGTTGATCGAATAAATTGCATGATCTATATAGTAAACTAGTTTGATAGGCCAGATTTGGGTTAGGTTGTTTTGGGTCAAGTTGGGTTCGAGTCAAATATTTTTGACCCATATAATAAACATATAGGGTTGAGTGAAGCAAATTTGCTTCAATTCAACTTTGAGTCAAACTCATGCCCAACCCATCAACCCGAATTGACCCTAGTGATTATTATTGATAATGACAATAATGGTATTGCAATTCTTAAAAAGTATCTCCAACATTGCTTTGAGTGAATGATCTAGGCCATTTACCCAACTTTGTGGGCCTCAAAATCTCTTTAGTTTTGTTATCAATTCTCCTAATCAAAGTAAGTCTCATATATTCTCAGTCATGTTGACAAGATTGACTTTAAAATTGACCCCCGCTTCCTTCGAACCAACTTTATTGAGTTGATGCCTCAATTATATCCTACTCAATATATATAATTGATTAGAGGATAAGTATATCTAATAATTACTCTACCAGATATTTCTTATATAATAGCCTTTGGTTAGTTTATTGGAATCCACACACTACCCATTTTGTTTTTTGTTCTTCGAATTCTTTTTTATGTACAAGGTACCTTGTATTGCGGTCTTCATTATTTTGCTTAACCTTTATCTATACTTGTTTCCTATTATGATGTTGATGGTTGTCGATTGTGATGCTCTTGATTGGAGATCAGTCATTGGGTTTTATTTCTTTTTGAGTATCTCTTAGATTTTCTGTTGGAGTTAGCAATTGATAAGGGTTGCTCATTCTAATACCAAAGTTGAATATCATAACGTTGCATACATGGCGGGCAATTTACTTTGGTTTTGATGGTTCCTCATATATATATGAGTATAGTTCATGATGAACCCTACCCTCCATTGTTTATTGTGACAATCACAATGTGATTGCCATTACTCAAATTGATGTCTATCATGAGTGCACCAAACACATTGAGAGATTGATTATCACTTTTTTTATTGAGTCTGCTTGTTTTATTATTTCTCAGTGGTTGATTCCTTCAAGAAAGCAATTAGTTGATAACTTTATTAAATTTCATCTTCTAGGATGATTTCAGGTACATTGTATGCCAAATTCAAGCTGTCATCTTTTATGCCTCTTCGAGTTTTTAGGGTAGTATCATGACATGTATAAAACCAAATGTACACAATGATCTTCATTATCTTTGAGATATTTTCCCTCATATTATCCTTTTGTTTTCTATTTCTACTTATGTATAGATCCTCATATGCTTCGACACAGGACACAAAATATGAACCAAATTTTTTCCTATTCTTTCTCTTCTCTCAATGTTGATGTTTTTTTTTTCCATCGATAAAGCTTGGGTGAGGAAAGATAGATTTAGTATACATTTTTAGCAACGCTTTATTATTGTACTTTTTTATTTTGTTTGAGCTTGAGGTTATGTATGGGCATTGGTATCACCTGTTTACTACTAAAATTAAATTCCAATTATTTTATCAACTAAAATATCATAATTTATCTTCTTTTTTTTTTCGCTTGAGTGCATTTGTTTTATGGCTTTCGTATTTCTGGCCTTGTCTTGACCATTGTTAACTAATGGATCAATATTATAGTATGAATATGACATATCATTCTTTTATTTTTATGGTTGAGTAAAAGCCCAAATAGCCCTACGACTATTACTAGATATCCAATTTAGTCGCATATTTTCATAATGCTCCAATTTAGCTTCCCCGATTATTAGAGTATGTCTTAATTTGATTCAAAGGCCAAAAGTAATAGTTAAAGTCAACATAACAGTTAAAGGGCATTTTTGATATTATAGTGTATGTGAGATTATATTATTGTTTTTATATATATTTTATCATTTATCATATTAAAATAAATACAAAAATCATAATAGAAGTTAACCACATTTATTAATTATTCACTCTTATTATTGTTTACTCATATAAAAAAGATAGAGAAATCATGCATTCACATTGAACCGCCACATTGTTTCGCCAAAACGATACATCCTCTCAACAAAATCAACTAATTCAAACAATAAAAAAACAACAGGAAACAAATGAAAAAAAAGAAGATAACTTACTTTCGGTTCCGCCTCTCTCCCTTCGATATGCATTTGTCGAATCTCCTCTGCTTGCCTATTTCAATTCCCGTGAGTAGCCTCCCTACAGCTTGCCTTGCGCACATTGATCAGACCTCTCACTCTATTGAATGCTCCACCTCACACTCCCTATTCGACCTCCCGTGTCCACCATATCCACCCGTCATTCATCTGCATCCCTTATGCATGCGGACTCCCTATCCGACCACCCCATCGATTTTGCCGAACCCCAGGTCCGATCTACCGTCCGACTTCACGCTTGAGCATGCTAGCAATTTTGTTTGCATTCGATCCAAAGCACACACCTTATGTGTGTTCCACTAATATGATTAGCAAGGAAAGCAGTCTGTTGTCCTTTTTCCACTACACAAATTACTCATATCTCTTCAAATAGTCTATTTGACCTTAATGTACATGAATTTATTCCGTGCATTTGTCTCTGTGTGCTCGAGCCACTCGTTTACTCTAATATACAATTACTCATACTTGAGTAGTTTTATTTGATTGAGACAGCAACAGGTACCCACTCAAGACCCCAAGCTATTGATCTTTGATCTAGGCGGAGAATTTTAAATTTGAATACCTATGCCATTGATCTTTTATCTGGGCGGATGGTTTTAAAATTCAAAGACCCCACATTGTCAATCTATGATCCTGTAGGATAGAAATTATGGCAAATGCCATCCCGACCTCCCTATGAGGGGAGCGGACGTTGGGATGCTATCGAAATTGTCCTAGAAGACTACTAAATTGGAGAGCAAATTCAATTTGAGTTTTAATTGATTATTTTGATTAATTAATTGATTAAGTTTAATTAAGATTAATTAATTGAAATTAATTAATTAAAATGAAATTTATTAATTAAAAATGAGATTAATTGAAATTAATTAATGAAAAGTTAATTAATTGAACTTAATTTCAATTAATTAGTTTGATGGAATTAATTAATATCAATTGATTAATTTAATATAATTAATCAATTGGAATTAATTAATTAATAAAAAATTGATTAATTGGAGTTAATTAATGGAAATTAATTAATCAAAATTAGTTAATCAATTAAAATTAGTTAATTAAAAATCAATTGATTAATTGAAATTAAATAATTGAAGTTGATTAACTGATTGAAATTAATTAATTAAATTTTATTTATTAATCAAAATTCGAAAGCAGTTAAAAACTCGAGAGCAATTAAAATCCGGGAGCATGTTAATTAATTAAATGAGTGCAATCAAATTTATTATTAAATTAATTAATGAAATTAACTTGATTTTTTTTTTAATTTGGTTAATTAGTTACACTATACAACCAACAACTATATAAACTCTCCAATGCTCTTGGACAAATTCTGAAGCAGGACGAACTAATGCGAACAAACAAAAGCAATGATATCAATACTGTTAAGTAAACTATGATACTGAAAGTAAAGCAGAGTACTGTCAAGTAAACTATGATATTGAAAGTAAACTACGGTGTTGAAAGTAAATTATGTGTTGAAAGTAAAACATGGTACTAGTACAAGAAAGAAAAAATAGGTGCTATGAACTAAACTACCGTACTGTCAAGAAGAGTATGACATTGAAACCAAACACTGGTGTAAAGATAGAGCCGAACTAAAGTAACTGTTGTCTAACCTATCTAAACAAACAAAACAACCATACTATTTCCAAAGGGAAGCGGTAGATCCTTACAAATCTACATACAACTTCTAATGGAATCATAAGTCTTATCAATCAAATTTAAAACAAAACTGGTAACTTAGCCTATAGGGCTAGGTTGTAAGACCCGCCTGTGGGCTACTTTCAAAGGAAAGCAGTAAGACCCATTTTAAAACAAAACCCTACATAAAACTTCTAAGTAAAGGTGTAAGACCCACATGTTAGAGAAATTGCTAAATAGAGTGCAACAACCCTAAAACCCAAACAATCAAAACAAACGAACAACGTAGCCTACATGGCAATGTTGTAAGTATGGGTGTCAAAACGTGTCCGCAGGTTGGGTTGCGGTCAAACCCGGATTGACCCAGCTCTAAACGGGTTGACCATAGCCTGACTCATTTTTATAGACGAGCCATGAAATTCAATCCAGACTTGACCCACATGGGTTATTGGGTTAACCCGACCGTACACGTGAACCCGAGGACGAGCTATGCTGACTGCGAATGTTGGAGCTGTGAGGGCGGAGTTTAGGGTGTGTGGGCATACCACAAATGCCGAGACGTGCTCTCCAGACGCGGTAGTGAGCAGACTGGCAGACGCAGGTGTGCTTGCGGGCAGCTGGCACCTCAGCCTCGCAGATGGAGGAAGCCGCGGAACCCGGATGAGCTGTGCGAGCAGATGGCAAAGGGCCGGGCAGAAACTGAGTCACATACGCTGTGCAAATATTGACACCCCTAATTATAAGACCCACTTTTAAGCTACTTTTGAAATCCATAAGCGGTAAGACCTATTCAAAATAGTTAGGCGTCTTCCAAATTAAGTTGTAAGACCTGCTATTCGAGCAACTTTCAAAGGAACCCGTAAGTTTCAACCCAAATTCAAACATTCAGGCTACTTTCAATGAAAATCTTAAGCCTCGAACTAATTTGAACCTCCAAGTAACTTTTAAACGAAATCATATATCCCAAACTAAATTAATCACTGTATATTCTAACAGATGTAAACCTCAAATTTTTATAAAATTACAAACCCACCAATAACCACCTCAATCTGCTCGGGATTCCTGGGAGGAGGCAACTCATGGCTTTTAATCATATTCCCTAGACTAGGGGTGTAAGTGAGTCGAGCCGGCTTGAGCTCGACTCGTTTATGGGCTCGTGAGCCGAGCTTATCGAGCTCACGAGTCGAGCTCGAGCTCGTTTCGTAAAGGAGCTCGAGTTCGAGCTTGATGAGGCTCGGCTCATGAGCCCGTGAGCCGATTCAAATAAATTTTAAATTTTTTAAAATTAAGTAATTATTATTTTTTATTACATTTAAATCTTTAAAAAATGACTGTATTTAGTTTTTTTTTAAAAGGCTGCATATAACAGTTCCCCAAAACAAATACATTAAATATTTTAATATATTCCCAAGATGTTGGCTGGCTCAAGAAATCTTTCTTTTATCTATAGGATAAAGCAAGAGATATTTCTTTTATATATAGGAAAAAGCAAGCAACGGATAGCTAAGAGCTGTGTGGATGAGCGCCCCAAGGTGTTGGCTGGCTCGCTTGTCGAGAAACCATGCGGGAAATGATGAAATCGGGTGGGTGGGAAATCAAAATTGAGCGGCTCAACGAGCTCGTTTATGTAAACCGAGTCGAGTTCTAGCTCGACTCGAGTTCGAGCTCGATTTTGAGCTCGGTGTTTGACTCGCGAGTCGAGTTCGAACACCTCCTGACTCGAGCTCGACTCGACTCATTTGCACCCCTACCCTGGGCACTACGGTCAATTGGTAGACTTAAACCTACGGTATATCCATGACGACAGAATTATGGGATCTTTATCGGTTTACCTTCATTTTCCCTCACAACTTAGACTAAAACACTTAAAATTACTCATCCTTAATCGAGAGTTATTTCTTACGCTTTAAGAGAGTAATTAACTATGAATGCTTGCGCTCATAGGAAGTAAGGACCCAGATCTAACTAAACCCTGATATTATCCTTAGGGGAAATCCGACTAACTACAATTTGACTTAAGGAGAATGGAATCTTATATCTTTAAAGTGGGATTCATGCCAACGTGTCATTTTTTCATAAGCCAACAATTATTTAGTTGGTTAGCTTTCATTATGATTTTTGTATGTATTTTAATATGATAATAAACAAAAAATATATATAATCTTACATAGAACATAATACTCAAAATGCCCTCACATTAAGTTGTTACTCTGTTAGTTAATTTTAACTATTATTCTTTGCATTGAGATCAAATTGACATATTTTATAATAGTCAGAGAACTAAATTGAGTCATCATAAAAGTCTGAGGCTAAATTAAACATTTACTAATAGTCGGGAGATTATTTTGAGTTTTTACTCTTTTATGGTTGCTTGAATCTTATTCTGTCTTATCTTGTCAAATTTGTGGTACTTGTTATCGTACTGAATTTTGACTTATTGAAGACTTTTTCTCAATTGTGCCATCAATTGATGTAATTTCTATTGGATGGTAAAGGGTACTATCAAAGTTTATTCTTTTTTTTTTTTGGAACATGTGAAGTTTTCTGCAAGGATGCAAACCGTCGCCTCAGTTTGAATTTGCATTGTGCTAGCTAAGTTTTCTTGTTTGTAGTCAAGCACATTTTTTTATTTGTTGATGCATTTTAAGCGGAGAACTAAGAGTCTTCTGCGATTTTGTTTTTCTGTCACTAATGAGCCTTTTCATATGTTTTGCAAGCAGGCATCGATAACTCAAACTTAAGCATTTTGGGATCTTATCTATCATACTCATTGAGTCGCATGAAGTCATGCGCTCGGTTATATATAATGAGCTATGCAGAACCCATTGTTAACCAAATTCCTATCAAGGGTTTGATGCAAAGGTTTGTTTTCATCAAGTATGTTTTTTATAATTCTTACCCAAAAAGAGATTCTATACTTGATGAAACTATATCAACATAACAAAAATTACTCAAGTGGTTGATTTCATCAAAACTAAAGTTAGACTGTATGTGCTATTATCATTATTGGCTTAAATATATCTCTGCATGGAGGGTTTGCCCTCAAATTCTGATTGTCCTTTTAGTCGCTCAACACAAATCTCATGTGCAACTCATTTGCATTTGCTTCTCTACAGCTTGCAAGGACCACTTGTCAAGATCAACAGTGCACCTGAAGTCACAGAAGTCGTAGGGTACTACAATTTGTTTCCATATATTGGCATTTTATCTGATTGGATGTCCGGGTTTGTACTCCTGCTTTGATTAGATTCTATTGTAAAGTATGAAATCGTCAAGAGCATACAATTTTTGTTCCAACACTCTACGATTTGATGAATTATGTCTGCACAGGAAAACTTCTCATAGTGCTTTGCAGCATATCCCAAGGCAGAAAACTGATTTGGTTAATAAGGGATCTGAAGGAGTTCTCGTAATTGATATTCATGAAGTCAGTGATGATTCTGGTTGGAGCCAAGGAAATATGAACAACTGTAGCAAGGCCAGCACAAACACTGAAATTATTGGCAGTTTCAAAAACTACCCTTCACTAGGAGAATCATCTGTGAGGTCTCAAAATGCAGCTTTTACTTTTGTCACCGAAAAACCTGTTTTGTCAACTGTTAAGGAAGAGGCTACTGTGGATGATTTTCCTGCTTTGACGAAGCAAAATTGGGACACCTTGATGAGTAAGAAGAGGAAACTAAACAATAGTTTGGCTGGATCATCTGGAACTGCTCATCAATACAATGCTGATGATTCATTTAATGAAAACTTGAAGAAATTGGATGGAGATTGGGAAACAAATTTGGAAAATGCCATATCACATAACTCAGTTAAAGAAGCAAAAAACGACCTCAACCAAGCTGGAGGAACCATGAACAATATGATAGTCGCTGTAAGACTATTCTCTTCAAATAAATTTTAAACTCTTTTTTAAATTACTCCACAATTTCAGTTCCTTCCTCCACAATTTATATGCAAAAAGTTTTCCTGGGAGATATTATTGAACAATTGAACTTTTTCTTGGGATACTTGAGTTTTTTTGTCTTTCTTTTGGATGCCAGAAGTATAGCTGTTGATACCTGTAAGTAATTCTAAATTTTTTAAGATCCTTTTTCCAACCATATAAATTCAATATTTTTTTGTAAAATTTTTCCTTGGTACATTAAGATAAACCATAGTTATTTAATAATGCTTGATGATTGATAGGTCTCTAAAATTCATCTATTCGGGCAAGAATCTCGAGGCATATTTGAATTAAAAATTTTCAATATTAAAATTTGGACCATATGAACTCCAATTTAACTAAACTTGTAGTCAAACCGAACGTCTTGATGAGATGGACTCAATGATGTCAAAATTGGTCCAATTCAAGCCCAAATGGGCCAAAATCAAGGGCCTGAAGTATATTGGGAAACTTCGAAACATTAATTGGATGACAAAATGTTCTCTAAATATGAAATGCTTATAGTCGAATCGAGCAGCTCGACAAAACGAATCCAGCGAGCCCAAGATCGCTTGATTTTCAACATCAGTAAGACACTTAAATGATGAACGAACCCTCTATAATCGAGGGAATCATGGACCATCCAATGGAGCACTCCGAATTTGCCCCGGATCTTCTCCATATTTACAAAGTCTGCCACTCCAAAAAATCTTTAAATAGGCCCTCACTCTTTGTATAGATTGAGCTGGGACCCTTAGCTAGAGAGGGAAGAGAGCTCTAAGGTTTGAATCCCCAAACTCTAGTTGAGCACCAAAATCGGCAAAGTAGCAAACCTTTGTTGCTCGACCGCGGCCACCAGACTTTCACCAACCAATCTTTGCCAAACGTCCACCTAGTCGCCGCCACCAGACCTCAACCTGGCTTCTGCTGCCGGACCTTCGACCGATCATCACCATCGGACCTCTGTCCGACCACCACCGTCAAGTCTTTGCCCGGTCCTATGTATCATGAAATTTATAGGGTATAACAAGATTTCTCAATGTCAATAAAGAATCTTTTTAAGATTTTGACATTATACAAGTTGATCAAAATATTACCATGGCCTAAAAAGTTCGGCTCCACACTTTCAAGAAGACTAACTAATGGATGATTCATATTGTTCGGGCTTGACCATTTCCTATTTGAAAGGGTATGACATGCAAACTTTAAGCTAAAAGTTTGCATTAGGTGGCTTAAATTTTTTTCAAATGTAATGATCTTGTTTCATACAAAACGAGTAAAATTGAAATCATTATTTAAAAAAAATGCTTTTGTATCTTACAAACAGCAAAGTGAGCTCAAACTTGCATTGAAGCCAAGAGAGAAGCATTTACTCTTGATTTCGCTGGTTTTTTATCTAGAAGTTTAATATGGTTTAGTGCCCTTTATTCTTCCATGGCTTAAAATTTTCATAAAAACATTTTTGTCTCTTTACAACTATTGTATTCCATAACGTATGTTTATTTAAAAGGAAAATCTGATTCGTTTTGGTAATACAGAAATACCTGTCAGAAATAAATGATTAACAAGTCTTTGAAAGAAGGCATGATGCTTGTAAGTTTACAATCTGCATCATTGATATTTTTTATGTTCCTGTGCAGCTTAACTCCGATAACCATGACGCACTTGCTCTGTCAAAGAAAGTTGATAGGATGTCTGTCTTACAAATGCTGAAGAAGAAGAGAGAAGAATTAGTATGCCATTTATTTTTCTTTTGATTCTTTAAGCATTCTCTTCTTCCTCTATTTATATTGTATACGTTCTTTATTATGTGCAAGTAATTATTTTTTATTCTTCTGTTTGATAGTGTCACCAGCAGCGCTTACTTGAGGATAATATTGCTCATTGTGAGATGAGCATCCAGACAGTGCTAAGTGGTATGTTTCTTTTAGACACCTCGCTTATTTTGGACTTTAAGATGAAGGAGCATAAAATAAAAAATAAAGTAAAACATTGTTCTAAAATTAGATGAGTGTATTTAAATAATATTAACAAAAATATTTTTGAGAGTAAGATACTAAATTTAAGATTTTGTCTGTGCATGAGGAAGCTAATATTATGTGGGAAAACATAGCCAGTGATATTAAAAATGTTGCAAAAGATGTGCTTGGAGTATCAATGGGAAAAGCTCTTAATAATAAAAATAGTTGGTGGTAAGATCAAAATGTGTAATAAAAGATAAAAAAATAAGAAGTTTTGTTATAAAAATTAGTTCAGATATAAAAATTCTAATAATTAGGAAAGATATAAAGAGGCCCGTAAGGAGTTTAAGAAATTGATATGCAATGCAAAGATTTTAGCTTTTAATGATTTATATAATAGATTAGATACTAAGTAGGATGTAAGTAATTGTTGACCTATTGTATAATAAAAAAAAATCAAAATCAAAATAAAAATCAAATCCTCACCTACTCTGCCGCAGCCGTCCCGCGCACGTTGCACGTCGCGCACGACCGCGACGCTCTTCGCACGTCGCACGATCTTTGCCTCGAGCGAATCACACTTAGCGTCGTTAAAAAGGGAGAGGGAGGCTAAGTTTTCGGCTGCTGGTTCCCTCTCTCCCTCACACTTGCTCGACGACATTTCCTTCCTCTCCGGTCAGAAATTCCGACATTTTGATCGAACGGAACAACGTGAGATCGCTCTCCGTGAAGTTAACTTCCTCCCATTCACGTCACTCCTTCGGCTTCGTCCATGACTTGTCGACGCCGCTCCTTCGAACGACCTTCCCTTCTGTAGATAAGAAGTTCGGACATTTTGATCGGACGAAACAACGGGATCTCGCCGGTGTGAAGGTAACTTCCTCCTTCACCCTTGCTTCCCCGGCTCCTTGCTGTCCGACCTCGCTCACACCGACGTTCCCTCCTTGTCGGATCTTAATTATTATTTATAATTAATTTTAATTAATCAAAATTAATTATGTTAATTATAATTAATCACTAATAATGATAAATAGTTATAATTAATTATTTATCCTTATTTAATTAATTAATAATTGTTGATTATAATTAATCCTAATTAATTAAAGATAATAATAATTATAATAATCATAATAATAAAAATAAAAAAATGCCTCTCTTATCTCGTCATTCGTGTCGGGCCGGTAGACCGCATATACACGCTTTTCTTAGCGTGGTGGGAAGGAAACCCGGCGCGACACCTACAACGAGATAAGCGAGCGACCCCTCGGCCCCCAAAATTCTGCCCTCGACATGTGCGACGAGCCGGCTAACCACCTATACACGCTTTTCTTAGCATGGTGGGAGGGAATTTGGTGTTATGCGTACGACGAAGTCGGGATACCCATAAGTACTCACTTGCAGGGAAACAACTGCTTTTTCTCTTGCAACAGGTACCGGTATAAGACCCATACACGCTTTTCTTAGCGTGGTTGGGACAAAGACTTTACACGGCCGCGGTGTCCTCGAAAGAGGGCACCTACCATACACACTTTTCTTAGCGTGGTGGGAAAGATCCAGTTTTATGTAATTTTCCCCCAAACGGGGGAGACGCCGGGAGGCTACCGAAATTTCGGGTGAATGTACGATCACACCCGGACCTGTTTGAACTCAAAAGAACAAGCATTGGGACTCAAATGAACATGAACTGTGGATTTGTGGACTTAAACTTTTTGAACCAATGAAGACTTGATTTGGACAATAAACTGAGCATAAAATCGGAGTCTAAACCAAACATAAATGAACCCAAATCCAAATCAAATTGAGCATAATTGAACTTACAAGGACTCTAGAAGACTCTGAACAAAATGTGAACATGCAATTGAACTTAAAGGACTGCAGGGGACTTAAATAAGAATCCGAACAAAGCACTTAAATTCGCACTTGAACTCGTGCTATACAACATTAAGTGGGAGTTATAGACTCGATGAACTCGAGTCTAAATGAAACTGAACTTGGATTCAAACACATACAAGGACAAGGCTTGAATCATACACGAGGAAACTCAAACTACAAGACCTCGATACATGAATTCCTACGGTAATCCCTACAAATGCCTGTTGATTGAGATGGCAATATTGGAGACCAGCAATCAAAGACCCGTCCTCTACAAATAAGTACAACGAAAACCCACCTGAGATTGGTGAAAGGTGGATACGATGTAGGCAACAATGACTCTTCTACGAATACTCCTAGGAGCTCGTAGAGGATACAACGGTCCCCTGTAAATGAATACTTGTGGATAACAACAGTGGGTATATCGTAGATACAACGAACCACTGTGGGCCCAAGTATTGATATCACCTACGACATTGGTGATCAATATATTTGAATATTTCGGGTACAAGGGCGACTCAATGTATAAAAAGTACACTCCCTGGCAGAAATGGAAGAGAGGTTTGAGCAAATTAGAACCAAACTTCCTGGTGTTCCAAAGTCTCTTCTTAGTTCTATACTTAAGAAGAAATCCATTACACTGATGATCTTAAAAGGAATTCTCTACAAAGCAACAAGCTTCAAAATCCAGAAAGTTCATCCCCGGTGTTTGAGAAAGGGGAGTCAATGTCAAGATGAGGAAATGCCTCATGACATTCAAATAACGACGCCACCGGATCTGCAACACTTATGCAAGCAGACAGAAGGCATCTACAATCTACAATGCAACGCCATCGGATCTGCAACTGCAACATTCATACAAGCGGACAGAAGGCGTCTACAAATACTTTCAAAATACCCCTGCATGTGCACCGTAGTTTGTATACACTTAGGTACACTAAAAGGGGTAAAAGCAATTATAAAACCCGCAAGGGCCCCGGCGAGCGTGTTATTGGTACACACGTGATGTCTAGGGATGCTGCGCAGGTTATTAAATTTAAACCCGATCCTCCTAGGCAGGTAAAAAGGAGTAGACAGGGTTTAATTACAAAATGTGACGCCGGAGTGTCTACTTGCGGCATTTAGAAATGCCTGTGTAGCTCTATTTGTGTGCCGACAATATAGCCTGGCCATTAGTTCTGTTTTCTGTTTTCTCTTGTGTATAAATAGTTTCTCCTTAGAAGAGTGGAGGGAGTTTTTTTGGATTTTTGATTCGTGAAGGAAAATTCTCCTTCCGTAATAAGAGCTCTGTTCTTTTTTCTATTTTTCTGTTTTCTCTCTGTATCCTGACGAGACTGTGCAGGTGGTGAAGAACAGGAGATCTAGCATTGACGTGAGCGTGAACCTTCAAAGCAAAGAGGTGGTGTCTGGAACTGATGCCTCCTCCCGAAGTTCTTTTCTCCAGTGTGTGTTCTTGTTTAGTGCGACGCCGGCCTCATTTAGTATCAGAGCGTGGGCAAGATGCCTCCTCGCCGGAATCCTCAACGTCCAGTCCATGAAGTAGTGATCGAGGAGTTGCGGAGAAATATTCATCAGTTGCAACAACAACTAGCAAGAAGGGAATATAGGGATCCAGTGAATCATCAAGAAAGGGAAGAAAACGTCAATCCATTCCATCAAGAACTGTCCAGCGACGAAGAAGGCCATAGGCGAGGTCTAGCTCGTGGCAGATCCGCGACCAGGGACGACAGTGGAGTGCAAGTAGAACTTCCAGAATTTGATGGTAGGATGGACCCAGATGAGTTCTTGAATTGGTTGCACACGGTGGAACGTGTTCTTGAATATAAAGAAGTTGCTCCTGATCGAATTGTGAAATTGGTTGCCATCAAATTGACGAAGAATGCTTCGTTGTGGTGGGAAAATTTGAAGCGCATACGATTGCGGGAAGGCAGAAGTAAAATCATGAGCTGGGATAAGATGAAGGAGTTGCAAAACAAATATGTAACCGAACATTACCGGCATGAGCTATTCTTGAAATTACATCGGTTGCAACAGCAGCAACGAACGGTGGAGGAATATGTGGCTGAGTTCGAACAATTGTCCTTGAAGTGCGATTTAAATGAGCCACTTAAGGCCTTCAGCCATCAATTGCTCATGTTGTCCAGTTACAATCCTATTGGACTATGCAGGATGTTGTTAACCTTGCCTTGAAAGTGGAAAAACAACAGAAAATTCACAAGCCAAATTTTCTCAGATCACGTGATAGTGGTGCTGAAAGAAACAAACCCAGCCATCCGTCATATAAGTGGTGGAGCTTCTACGTCGTCTGAAAATCTTCCTGCTACTAGTCGACCTCCTATCAGTCAGCCTACGGGGGTGTCCGCGCGGAAATGTTTCAAATGCCACGGGTTTGGGCATATTGCTTCGAATTGCCCAACTCGACGAACGATCACCCTTATTGAAGAAGAAGAGAGGGAGTTCGCCGAGACTGCCCATGCTGAGGATCCCATTCTAGAAGCCAACAACTCTCCTAGTGAACCCATGGTTATCGGAGCAGATGAAGGAAACCTCCTGGTTCTCCGGAGAGTGCTTAGTGTGCAAAAAGGAGAACCTGCACAACGTCATAGTCTTTTTAGGACAAGGTGTACAGTTCAAGATCGCGTCTGTCAAGTAATCGTAGACAGCGGGAGTTGTGAGAACATTGCGTCGGCTACATTGGTAGAGAAGCTAAAAATACCAACAGAAGCCCACCCCAAGCCTTACAAGCTGTCATGGGTTCAGCGGAAAAACGAATTAGAAGTCTCCCGGAGATGTCTTGTTAATTTCTCCATCGGCAAGTATCAAGATCGTGTCTGGTGTGATGTGCTTCCTATGGATGCCTGTCACCTGTTATTAGGAAGACCTTGGCAATATGATCGGCAGACTGTGCACGACGGAGTCAACAACACGTATTCCTTCATTCAGGCGGGAGAACCGATTGTTCTACTTCCGTTAGCCACCTCCCAAGATGAAGGGCATGCCGATCAATTTTTCATTAGCAAGGCTGAATGTAATTTAGCCCTGCAAGAAGCTCACAGGTGTTACTTGGTAATCCTCAAAGAGGT